CATTATTTGCAGATGACATGATACTATATAGAAAACCTTAATGACTTCACCGAAATATCACTAGAACTAATAAATGAATTCAGTAAAGTTACAGGATACAAAATTAATATGCAATTTTAAAGAAATTTGTTGCATTTCTATATGATAATAACAAACGATCAGAAAGAGAAATTAAGAAAACAATCCCATTTACAATTGCATCAAAAAGAATAAAATGCCTAGGAATAAATTTAACTAAGGATGTGAAAGACCTATACTCTGATAAAACATTAAAGAAAAAAATTGAAAATGACACAAATAAATGCAAGGATATTCTATGCTTATAGATTGGAAGAATTAATATTGTCAAAGTGACTATACTCCCCAAAGTAGGTTCAATGCAATCCCTATCAAAACACCAATGGCATTTTTTTTTTTTTTTTTTTACAGAACTGGAACAAATAATTCTAAAATTTGTAGGACCCACAAAAGATCCCGAATAGCAAAGCGATATTAAGAAAGAACAAAGCTGGAGTTATCATATCCCCTTAACTTCAAAATATACTACAAAGCCATAGTAATCTAAACAGTATGATACTGGCAAAAAAGCAGACACATATATCAATGGAACAGAATAGAAAGTCCAGAAATAAAACCACCTACATATGGTGATTTAATCTACTACAAAGAAGGAAAGATTACACCATGGGGAAAAGACAGTCTCTTCACAAATGATGTTGTGAAATTTAGACATGCAAAAGAATAAAACTGGACCACTATCTTACATCATATACAAAAATAAACCCAAAATGCATCAAAGACTTAAATACAAGACCCGAAACCATAAAATCCTAGAAGAAAACGCAGAAAGTAAACTTCTGGCATCAGTCTTAGCAATATTATTTTGGATGTCTCTTCAGGCAAGGGCAAGAAAAGCAAAAATAAACAAATGGGACTACATCAAACTAAAGAAGCTTTTGCACAGCAAAGAAAACCACCAACAAAATGGAAAGGTAACCTACCAAATGATTTATCCAATATATGGTTAGTATCCAAATATAAAATAATTCATACAACTAAATATCAGGAAGACAAACAATCCTATTTAAAAGTGGACAGATGACCTGAATAGACATTTTTCCAAAGGAGACATACAGATGGCCAACAGGCTCATGAAAAGATGCTCAACATCACTAATCATCAGGGAAATGCAAATCAAAACCACAACGAGGTAGTCAAATCTCTCAGAATGGCTGTTGTTAAAAAGACACCTCCCCTCAAAACAAAAATAAAAACAAAAAAACAAACAAAAAACAAATGCTGGTGAGGATATGGAGAAAAAGGAACCCATCCATACACTGATGGTAGGAATATAAACTGGTACAGTCACTACGGAAAACAGTGTATTTTTGAGGCGGTTCCACTTCTGGTTATTTATCCAAAGAAAATGAAAACATTAATTCAAAAAGACAGATGCACCCCTATGTTAACTGAAGCATTATTTACCAAGATATAGAAGCATCTAGATGTCCATTAATAGATGAATGGATAAGGAAGGTGTATATACACATACAACATGGAATATTACTGAGCTATGAAAAGTATAAAATATTGACATTTATAACAACATAGACGGACTTTGAGGTTATTATGTTAAGTGAAATAAGTCTGACAGAGAAAAAAATACCATATGATTTCACTTCTATGTGGAATCTAAAAAACAAAACAAATAAAACAGAAACAAATTCATAGATACAGAGAACAAAGTGGTAGTTGCCAGAGGGACATGGAGGTGGGTGGGGAGCTGGGTGAAGGGCATTAAGGGCATTGCTGTTATAAAATAAAAAGTCCTAGGGATATAACAAACAGCATATGGAATAGAAGGTAACTAGACTTCATAATATAAATAAATATCGAATCACTATGTTGTACACCTGAAACTAGTATAATATTGTAAGTCAATTATACTTCAATGAAAAATACAATAAAATTTGTGAATTGTTTATTTCTTTAATTTGCCATTTACTATTTCAGACCATGGTTGACTGTGGGTAACTGAAATTGTGGAAGGCAAAACTGTGGATAAGGGGGGACTACTGTACTTTAATTAACCAAATAACAAGTCTCATCTTTGGTTCAGTCTATACAATCCAAAGAAAATAAAGATTTGAGCTATTCCCTAAAACAATGTTTATCCTGAATCATCCAGATGGTTTTTTTTTTTATATTGCCTGCACTGATGAACAAACACTTGCATAGAACTGTACCTTTCAGTTCTTGGAGACCCAATCTATTGTTTTCACAGGATATGTAATAATCCAATCTTATGGCCCGGTCACATCAAAAAGCTACTATTTTCAATGAGACAATTATTGAAAAATGTCCTCCTCATAGTCATATCATTGGAACAGCAGAGTTTTGTTATCTTTTGGGGACAGTAATTCAGCCTCAGGAAAGCACTAGGTACTTAATAACAATCATATGCCCATTACCTGTAAGCTCCATACAATTTTTCAACATACATTGATTCAAATTTTCTTTCTTGGGTCAAGGACACAACTGTCCTAATATTTTCTATTGCCTCTGTTGCAATCTGTAATGTAAAGTAGAACTGGATTAGAAATGGGGATTTTATTTCTGAAATAATGAAAAATATAAACCTTAGGGCTCTGTCAAATCCTGAAAGTTATGTTGATGGTTTTAAAAATTCCTCCAATTTTTAAAGTAAAGGTATAATGCATTCTTTAAGATCAACTCTGACAAAATTGTCAATCTTAAAAGCACCTCTGGTGGTGCCGAGTGTGGTGGGCAAGTTTTTGTAGCCCCAAGGAGACTGACCAGCTTAGGGCAAGAATGGCTGGAGCACCAGAAACCTGATTCTATTCCCAGCCCTGCCACCAAGCGGTTACTTAATATAAGTATTAAGTATAATATAACTTAACTGGCTTTAGTCACATCCCTATGTGGCTTTGCTTTCTTCATAGAGTAGGTTCCTAGAGAATTAGACTAAGTGATTTCTAAGGGTACGCTGGAGGTGTCAATCATTTCCTTTGTGAGTATATCCCTCCCTAGAGAAATTGTTTGCCCATAATTAGAAAGATGATTCAAATTGTAAATAACATGACCCTGCCTTAAATCCCTGATTGAACCAGGGACAGACACCTGACTGATCTAGGCCAATCAGATTCTGTTTCCTGGACTTAAGGCAACTGCTTGGACAAAGAAGTCCTGTAGATTCAAAGGCTAAGATCACCAGAGTACATTTGAATATATAGCAAGAGAGAGCTACTATGGAAAACAGTATGGAGGTCCCTCAAAATTTAAAATAGAACTACCATATGACCCAGCAATCTGTGTAGAGAGCCCCAGAGACAATAGAGCTTATAGCTCTAAAATAGGAGATGCTATTGACTTTCCGGTAACATAAACAAACCATGGATATTCCCTGTACTTCTATGTGTCCTTACATCATATCCCTTTTATCCAAACCAGCCAGAGCAGTTTTCTGATTCAGACAGCCAAACCAACCTGGAGTAATGTTAATTGTCTGTGACAGCTAGTTAGTCTAAATCATAGACTGACAGTTGTCATCTAAACCATTAGCACAAGAAACTTAAGATTTTAATTTTAGGTTTTTGTTTTATTAACTTTACAACTTTTACCTCACTTCTCAGCTTCTGTAACTAGATGAAAGCAAGATATTTGCTACTTTAGATATTTGGCTGAATAATCTTATATCTTTATTATAAATGAAAAATCTGACAGTAATAATAGAGAATACTTATTGAGCTTTTACTATATGTCCAGTATTACCTCATTTAACCCAGATGATCTCATTTAGTCTCACAACAACCTTGTGAAGTAAATATTATCATTCCTGTTTCCACGGATAAGGAGCAGATACACAGAAAAGTTAAATGACTTGACTAAAGCTCTTGAGTTAATAAGTAGGCAAGCGAGGATTCTTTATCAGTTTATCTGATGCCAAGTACATGCTCTTAACCCATTATTTTTTGCTACTCTCCCTGCTTTGTAATTTTACACGAGGAAAAACTAGTTATTAATGACTTTACACTCAACTCTTGATTAACTGTTTTAAGGGTTAGTTCTGGTTCTGCAGGTCCCTAAACGCAGTAATCAGGCAGGGCCTGTGTCAAGAAGGTTGCTATGCAGCCTACCCCGCCCCCTTCCCAGTCTAGCCAACAACACCCTCGTTACACAGCCCTTTTTGAAAAATGAAAATGGAGAGACACCCCACGTCCCAATGTACTTAACCATGATTACTCTGCACTCACATAAATGACAACTTTTCATTTTGAAAAAATAGTGATGTAGAGAGTTTTCCAAGACTTCTTTCTAATCATTATTCTGTGTTAATCAAGAGTTGACTAAGTAAACAATATTGAACTATGATTAAATTGCTGATAATGAACATTTACTGGATTTCGTTAACCAATGTCACAATAATAATAATAATAATAATAATGAACATTTACTGGATTTCGTTAACCAATGTCACAATAATAATAATAATAATAATAATGAACATTTACTGGATTTCGTTAACCAATGTCACAATAATAATAATAATAATAATAATGAACATATAAATATATATAATTAAAAAATATTTAAAATTTCCAACTGCTCATATATATTTTTTAAAAAACACCTTATTAGGTTCAAGTAGCTACTAAAAATAATTTCAGGCTGACCAATCTGAGTTAGTCATTCTCTGATCCCTGGAATGACAAAGTATTCATTAGCTGAAAAGAACTTGGGACATTACCTGGTACAATTTCTTATTTCATAAAAGTGGAAAGTGAGGACTAGAGAAATTGGGGCCTTCTTCAATATCACACATGGTGAGTAGCAAGGCCAAGACTAATAACCCAACGTGTTTTTTGTTTGATATATTGCTCAATTCTAACTGCCCTACTCCTGCTAAAATGCTGGCAACTTTTAGTGTTATTAGCCATTTTTAATAGCATTAAGACTCTTTTATCTCAACTAGATTCAATATGCTTTCTTTCATGTAACTAGTCTAACAAAAATTTATCTTCATTCTAACTACTGACAATTTTCCCTTCTGAAAAGTGAAAAGAAGCAGGGTTCAGAAGGAGAAAGGAAACCAAATGAAAGGCTGTTTTTCGGCAGTTGTGACAAACGGAAGCCAAGGAAATAACACCCTAAAATACCCACAGCCAGTAGCCAGCAGGATCTTCAAGAACTTTGGACATCCAAGACTTCTTAAGTCTGGGAACCATACACTGTCCTGGAGATCTCTGCCTCCAGGAGAGGATACAGGGTGAACACGAGAAGGAAGCATTCTGATGGAAACCGAGGTTGAGACTGACACAGCATTGAACTCAGCTGATGCTGGTTAAGAGAGAAGGGGCAAGGATTTCATCGGATATAATTGGTTTGGTGGAAATACGCATGGTTGGAATCCTAATCTCACCCCTTACACGCCACATACCTAGAGCAGTCACTCAACCTATGAATTCTTTCTTCTCTGTGAGGTGGAGATGTTATCTGTCCCATTTACATAACTATAGCAAAGGCCAGTTGCAGAAATGTTTGTGAAAGGGCTTTGTAAAGTGTTGTGCTATAGAAACTATATCACAATTTATATTCATTAACTGCTTAACTTCCTAATATTTCAATAAAGGATAATATTTACATAAATAATAGTTAAATTTTCCTGGCTGTAATATACATTTAAACATTTAAATGCATGTACATGTAAATAAAATGTTTATATATAGATTTAGACACATCTTAACATATATAAAGGGGCTGTATAATAAAGAGCTTTGAACCTCAACCATGCCTTTAATTTGTTTCTCAAGTTCCACATTTCTAAAATTGGGGTAACATTAGTACCTGTTTTACAGGAATAATGCGAAGATGTAATGAGTTGGAGCATATAAATACTTAGAATAATTGGCACATAGTAAGGCCCAAGTGTTCGCCCAACTGCCATTATAGTTAGGACTACAAATCGAAGCATTACTACCAACTGGTGGCTGCCCACCTCAATTAGAGAAACCATAGCCAAGAAGAACACTGTCTCTTAAGTACCAGTAAATATCATCCCTTGAACAATTCACTTGCATTCTCTGCCTTAAAGACTCCTTCTGTTAAATAGGGGTAACATTTGTCCTAATGATGGCATCAGAATATAAAGTAAAAGGTAAAATGAAATTTGGAAATTCAGAAATTCTTTGTGATTACCATATGTTCAGTGCTAAAAGCTTTATATCAGGGACCCGCAACCCCTGGGTCATGGACCAATATTGGGCAGTGGCCTGTTAAGACCTGGGCCACACAGCAGGAGATGAGTGGCAGGCCAACAATTAAAGCTTCATCTGTATTTGCAGCTGCTCCCCATCAATAGCATCACCACCCCAGCTCCACCTCAGATCATTAGGTATTAGATTCTCATAGGAGTGCAAACCCTATTGTGAACTGCGCATTCGAGGGATCTAGGTTGCATGCTCCCTATGTAAATCTAGTGCCTGACGATCTGAGATGGAGCTGAGGAGGTGATGCTAGCTGGGGAGTGGCTGCAAATACAGATTAACATTAGCAGAAAGATCTGACTGCACAGCGACCTAACAAATCAATTGCTTGCCGACTCATATCAAAATCCTATCAGTGAGTGGCAAAAGATAATCTGCATCTGGTGGCAGGCTTTATAGTGGCAAGTGAGTTAATGTACTTCGATTGTAGAGCTGCATCTGGTGGCATCTGATTCTGCATTATGGTGAGTTGTATAATTATTCCATTATATATTACAGTGTAATAATGATAGAAATAAAGTGCATAATAAATGTAATGCTCTTGAATCATCCCGAAACCATCCCCGCCCTCTAACCCCACCACAGGTCTGTGGAAAAATTGTCTTCTACGAAACCGGTCCCTGGTGCCAAAAAAGTTGGAGAATGATGCTTTACATTAGTCTATGTTCAAGTTCTAGGCATTATTAATACAGTAAACTATTTCACCCAGTGTTGACGATTATTAATTGTAGTAAGCACATTTAACTATTAAAACATGCATGTTGTAATAAACAATTCAAATGAAACACATGTCTAAAAATACTTATACTTACTGAAGCCTTATTTGACCCACCTTTCCAGCAGTTTCCAGTTCTTTTTTATCTCTTTTGGCATTTCCAGCCAACATTTTCATTTCAACAATTCCTGATACAGCCATAATAGGAACAACCGATAACAGCAAAAGGGTTAATTGCCAACCATAGATAAATGATATGATAATACCAGTTCCAAGGTTGGCTGTGTTCTGTGCAATTAAAGCCAACCTGGTCCCAGTGGCCTGGAAGAAAGAGAGGCAGTTGTGTTTTAAGTTGCAAATCCATGAGCTGCAGGCTTAGGCTTCCTGGTTAGAATGATGAGAGGGTTTTGAGCCTCCAGCTAACCTTGCTCCTTTTCATTACAATAAGTCCAAAATTCTTGTACTTAACTCATGAGGCTCTGCAGATTTTTCTTTGTGCATGCCTTTCACTTCTCATTCCTCCCCTGCCCACAGGAATTCAGCATTACAGAATTGAGTAATCAGGTGCTCTGTTTTGAGGATAGGCTATAGGGTACACACGCTTTTTCATGAAGGCAAAGTTTACAGAGGAAACTAACCCCAGTGTACTCTGGTCATTTTAAAGACCATTGGCTTCAAATGTATAAGAGAGAAATTTAAATACTCCGAGACCATATGTTACAAAGTGTACATATCCTAAGAAACCATTCACTGTAAAGCATACATAAAGATGAATTACTACTTATACCTTTCAGAAAACAAGGCTGTTGTAGTGAACACTGCAGCTGACTCTCCCTGTAACAGACCACAGCTCCAGGCATAGAGGGGGCAAGCCAGGGAGAGCATGGCATTACCCAGAGAGAGCTATTGGTTCAGGGTCAGGCATATGACCCAAATTAGCCCAAAACAGCTATGGGAAGGGTGTTCGGTGGTTGAGGTACAGGTGTGTACTCTCTTTTACTGGATAGGAAATGAGGAAGCTTGGGATGCTGGTTGCTATTGGCAGCTATCCTAGGGCCATGAGGGAACAAGCCCTAGGATGAAGCCAGTGCTGAGGACTAAAAGCCACTCAGAGCAACAGAGGCAAAAGGAACCTGGGTCTTTTGTGACATATTTGAGCCAGTGGATCAATCAACCCTGAAGTCTAATCTTCCTCTTTATTGTTTAGGCAAGTTTGAGTTTTCTGTAATTTCTAGCTGAAAGCAACTTAATGGATGCAGCTATTCCATACGTTTATTTAAAACCATGTTAAAGAAAAACAGTAGTAGAGTCTACCTACTCCTTGTACTTGGGAGGCATCAGTTGCAAGCCTTGTAGAAAGTGCACCAGTACTGTTTTTATAATCGTCAAACCAGCTGATGTCCTACGGTACAAAATACACCTTTAAATTAGTTCAAAATTAAAACAAGCAAAGAAAATCATGAAATTTCTCAAACCTTCAATGCTGAGGAAAAATCCACATTTAACTTGGGTACAGGCATTAGGGGAGCCCTCCCATGCAGCATAGAGCCCTGGTCCCTGCTCTGAGCACACACCCTTGGAGTCTATTAGGATCCAAGCCCCGAGGCTGCTCCATTGTGATAGGGACAGTACCACTGATGGGGTCTGGGTAGGGCTTATCCAGACTGCAGCTGTGCTCCCTGCCAGTTTCACCTGAGGCTGTGGGTACATGTGGGCATTCTGTCACCCAATTGCCACAGCTAGGACTAGAAACATTTCCTCCCTGATATGAGGTGTCTCTTATAGAGGGTGGTGGTGCTGTGCTGGATGTGGCTCTTTCTTATAAATTCTAGGCATAAGAAAATCAGCCTTGGTTTTTCAGCAGGTTTTTGTTTTGTTTTAAACAAAATTAAGAGTGTATCTTAGATATGATTTTATTATAAGCTACTCACCTGCAGTCTTTTAGTTTCATATAAAATAATTTTCTCTACATAGCAACGGTTTAAAAGATACTAGTAAAACTTTTGTAAACTCCGATTTGCTAAACTATGATATCTGCTATGTGCCATTTTACAAATAGGAATGTAATCAATTCCTGTCAATTGGATGAATAATGTTCTGGCTCTCTCTTAAGCCTTTTCTATAAAAATAGAGAATTTGTATTTGTACATTTTCCCACATCCTGCACTAGAGGGCAGATAATGCGTTTTATAGTCCCAGCTACCAGCATACTGTCTGGGACAGAGTAGGTAACAATTATGTGAATTAACAAGTGAATTAATGTGAAAACAGAGCTTAACAAAGACAGAAACAAAACTCAGTTACCACCATTTGGGAAAACCTATAGTTAGTATGGTTGCTTGTGGTACATGAATACTACCAACCACCTTTTCCTATGTTTAAAGGTCTTCTGGAGTCTCAAATGACTCACCAGGGCCTGCATAGAATCCAGAGAAGAGATACAGGTCCTTGAAATGGTAGTACCCACGTGGATATAGTCACAAAATAAGCCAAAATGCTACCTAAATTAAGTCTATTTCCATGAGAACTCTGAGAGGTCTTTGGATATTGAAGGACCAGGACAAGTTGGAGGGCCCCGACCAGTCCTTGCATGAACACTCTGGGGTGGGGGTGTGGGAAACAACAGGAACTACAGCACACGAACAAAAACGGAGAGGCACACACCTACCTGTCTTAGCATTGCTTTAAAAGCCATTGACCGAAGCCTTGTGGTGAGGATCTCGCCAGCTTTCCCAAACGTGAAGCCCTAGTTGAAAAAAAAACTCTTGTCCTTTTTGATCACCACTAGTATTCTGACACAGTGAGTATATTCACATTGACGTTGCATTACTTATGTATTAATCAACTATTCAAATAACAAAAGTCTATGACCAAATACTAATTAAAAGACCCCATTTAAAATTCATATACTGCAAAATCATTAGTATATAATCAAATCGTAAGACCAAAACCCTTAAAAGTGTCCAGTTCTGGCTTCTGAACCATTCTAAATAGGTTTCCTTTTCAAAACTTTCAGTGACAACATCTCAGTGAGAACAATCCTGTATTTAATTACAACTTTCAGTGTGTTCCTGATATTTTAAACAAAACAGTCAAAATAGAAGTTAATATTCTATGCAGGAATATATTTTGGTTCATGTAATGTGGCAGGAGGGAGGAAGTCTGTAGTAAGAAGCTCCAAATGAGTTGGCTGGTTCTCTGCCACAGCTTCACCTGCTCTCAGATTGGAGAACAATTAGGCCACTCTTCCTCCGCAATTTCCCACTTTCTAATTTTATCACGTTCATCTGGAGAGTAGCCCAGATGTCCACAGCTGGGTTTTCTTTCAGGGCACCTGGGATGGATGGGAGGACACACCAGAAGTGTTTACTAAGCCAGGAAGATGCGTGATCAGTGCCCAGGGTGAGTGAGCCCCTGGTGTCCAGGACTAGATTGGCCCAGTCTTCTACTTCCTTCGCCGGCAGATTGCTCAAGGCCAGTGTGGGTACCACAGTTCTCTCCATCAGCCCCCTGTTCATGCAGTCTCCAAAATATATTTATGTAACTAGCTCCATTTCCAAACACACTGGGACTTTGGGGTTGGATGGGATCATTGAGTTGCTACTAGCAAGGCAATGATTTCTAAATAAAAAAGCTTGGCTTACTTTTACCATTGGTTCAGTAATGGTAACAGAGAAGCATGCTGGGCCTGACTATGAAAAATTTTGCTGACTTAATGAATTGCATTGGAAATGCCTGTGCAGTGCTCACTGAGATAGACAAAAGATATTCGGTAAAAATCTAGGTAGAAAAGTACAATCAGAGCAAGGTTTGCTAGTTCATTTTGGCCAGCTCAGTGGCCATCAGCACATGAAAACCTCCACCAGGAGAGGCCATGAATGTGACCAACACCTAAGAGCCAGGCTCCTGTGCCACCTGCCAGCCTCATAGAGGACGTGTCAGGCTGCTGAAGGGCAGGCAGAGAGAGCCCAGAGCAGACTTTTCAGCCACCTGCCAGGCCACCAATAAATCACGCTCAAGGCAGATAAATAAATTAAATAAATAAATAAGTGCAAAATAATGTATGTTCTTTCGAAGAGTTTTTCAATTAAGGGGGAAAAAATCAGAGAAGTTACTTGATATTGTGTTAAGAGTTAACAACAAAAAAGAGCATGCTACTGCACTGATATTTTTCCAGTTTACAACTAGTTGAGTTTAACTGGTTCTTACATTCTCCCATGAACTCCAATCTATTTCCTTGGTAATAAATGTTTGCTGAGGGCAAACCTATAACGTGATATAATTTAGCTCACAGAGAAGTTACAATTCCTTTTGCTCTGGATTCTGCCCTCTCAAAATGCCCTGTGCCAATTGTTTCTGCAAGTCATTTCAGTCTAAGATTTAAAAACTCCACTAGGTCTTGATTAATCGATAATTAATTAATCTATATTAAAAATAGTTAAATCTAATTAATAGATAATTAATTTATATTCTCTAATTGAATCTAGACTTGAGAAGACCAAATCATAGGTACCTACCTGAAGGAAGAAAGTAAAAAATGAAGTAATTCCTAGACCTAAAAACAGCAATGAGATCATGTTGCACTTCTGCTGCTTCACTTCATCATCCCTCAGTCCAAAAATCTACAAAAGAACATTTCAAATACTCAGATTATAGGGTCCTTGTTTATTCCTCCCATAAACGGTGGCTTGAGCATCATGTTTTAAAAACTAGGCTTTGAAATATGTGGTTTATTTTATTGTGATAAAATATACATAACATAAAATTATCATTTTAACCATTTTTAATTATACAAGTCAGCAGCATTAAGTACATTCACAGTGTTGTGCAACCTTCACCACAATCTGTCTCCAGAAGTTTTCACCATCTCAAATGGGAACTCGTTGAACAGCAACTCACCATCACCCCTCTCCAGCCCCATCGGAACCACTATCCTATTTCTGTTTCTGTGACTTTGAGGAATACGTGTATTTAACATGGGTTGAAACCGTGCACATGGATTGTCTGTGGCTGTACATTTTGGTGTTTGTTCCTCTTTCTCTGCACTCACTGTTCCTTCAACTTGAACTCCTCCCTGCCCTGGGCCCAGGCCTCCACCCTTCATTCCGCAGGGCCTCTGCCCAGGGAGGCGTCTCCTGACCAATCTACATGAAACAGCAGCCCCATCTCCAGTCCCTCCATTGCCAGATCCTGCTTTTAAAACACTCATTATTCCTTGACACATTATATATTTTCTTTTGCTCTCTGTGTTGTATGTCCATCCCAATAGAAAGTAAACTGAGAACAGGAATTGGTTATTTTATTTCCTGCTATGTCTCCAGGGTTTGGAGCGGTGTTTTGCACATAGTAGATACCCCAAAATATAGATATAGTCCACATAGCTCTTGAATTGCAAGAGAGCCATGAATTGCTTTATTTTTTAAATTTAAAAACATTTGAAGGATCTTTTCTAATTTATTTATTTTTGAGCTTGAGGTCTTAATTGTAGACCAATATCCAATGTCACAAGCATAACAAATTCTTAACATGATGGAAAAGAATTCATCTTTAACAAAAAAGTCTCTCCAAATAATGTTAAAGGTTGACTAAGGTTATACAATACAAATGCTGGGTTTTATGGAACCTTAGATATTTCTGACAACGTCCTATAAATATCCCCCAAAGAAATTAACAGTTGGATAATATGAGTTTTCTTTCTCAGTCTCGGACCCTCCCCGTTCCAAGCCTCGGAAAGATTGCTAAAATAATGATGAGGTGGCTATCGCTTTTTGAATATTTACTATGAGGCAGACATTCTTAAATGCTTTCCGTACGGTTATCTATATAATCTCTTTTGATCCTCAGTCATCCTATGCAGTGAGTTTATTTTATAGATGAAGAAATTGAGGTACAGTTTGACCAAGTCTGCATAGCTATTAAGTGATGAGGCTGCTCTGTGCCCAGACCCTGGCCTCTTAAACGTGTGACTTGAACTCTTCCCTCCTCCACCCCATCCCAGCTTTCCTGTGAGACGTGCATCTTCTCTCCACAAATGGGATGGAGATCACTGCCTGATACCAGTTTCACCCAAATGAACAGCTCATTAGAATGACTCCACTGATTTTACAGTTTATAATTTCATTAATACCATAACTTTGAATGGTTCAAAGGCTATTTATTCTTTCACCTCACAGTTTTCCTCAAAAGAAAATTTAAAACATTGGCTTAGTTTAATTTGAGGCTACTTTACTCCCAAATGGACCCAGTAGTGAAGCTGTCATGAGGACTGATTTAAAAATGAAGTGAATTAATGCAAGCTGTTAAGTGATGTTTTCAAACTTACCTCTATCATCTCTGAGAATATGACTGAAAATGCTGGCTGAAGCGCCCCGTTGGCAATGGCACATACTGTTCCCACCACAAAGTAGGGCCACTCTGTTTTATTCAGTTTCAAGACCTTCAGAAAAGATACTGGTGGCACATTTTCATCCTAGAATATATCAGGATAGACTGGTGATAACACAACAACAGCTCCAGAGTTTGTCGACATAGAAAAGGAGCCCATCTCAATGGCATCCCCCTAAAGAAACTTGCAAACTAGGTGCAGAGAATGACCGGGCTACAGCAAACTTCATGCTAGAGAGTAGGACAGTATATTATAAAATGTCAACAATGTTCACTGATTACACAGCATATGAGCACAGAGTATGAATTGTTCACCCAAGAAGCACTCTTTATGGTGTGATCAGTCTAGTTTTATTCCAGCCTCAGCAGAGTGAGGATAAGCAAGATCTGGTTACAAAATCTACTAGAATTCAAGTCCCAACTCAATTCAGGCATGATGTTGGGGTCAAAAGAGGCGATACCCATGAATAGACGGGTAAGTGTCCTTACAATGTAGAACACCATTATGAATCTGAGGACATGGACCTAGTCTCTTCACCCCCAGAACCCTGCTCAGTGCTGCCTTTTCTGTGACATGTTCAACTCACAAAACCAAATTAATTATGCCGCTTTTCTCTTACCACTGTTCCTTGTACAGACTTATCTTGTAACTTAGCTCGTTTTTTTTCTTTTGTTTATTTACATGTCTCCTTTTCTAATGTGTGAGCTTTTTAAAGGTGAGGGCAACGTCTTTATATTCCTAGAAACCAGTCCAATGCCTAGCACATCTCAGATTCTCAGGAAATGTTGAACTCAATGTCTGGTCAGACATGAAAGAAATAGGTTACATAAAGGAGAATATCCTGACTATAGAGGTAGTTTAACATTAAACTGGATACAAAAGCTGCCTAAGAAATCTCATAGCCATATGATCATTTAAATAGGTCGTTTTTGTGTCTCTGTGAAAAAGAACATAGTAGTAAGTTGTACTTAGCCCTCTTTTTTCAAATCACCAATTTTCTCAGTATTTTGATGTGCTTTTCACTTCCCAGTTAACAATGTCTTTAAGTCCTGGTCTCCAGCCTGATAAATGAGCCTTTTCCTCAGGCTGCTGTTCACCACACACGAACAGGTTTCCCCAGGTCCCTCTAATCAGACTTAATTTCTCCCTCCCCTTAGCACATTGTTTATCCCACTGTGATGGTACTTAAGACAGCCTTAATTGATTGTGGCATTTTCTGTCTCTGCCTCTTCTCTCTGCTTTTAGCCAAGAGAAGTGCTCATCTGAAATACCAGACTAATGATTTCGCAGCATAACTCTCAAGATAAATGAGGAATTGAAAAGTGGATACTTTCATAGCCAAAAAAGGAGGAAAGTGTTTATCTTCTTGTGATAATTCAGCTCCACAATAGCACAATTGTTGTTCTTCTTTCTATAAATATATTAAGATTAAAACCTCTAAGAGAGCCCTTATAATATTTGCAGTAAATAATATTATAGTCAGAGCGAACCAGATTAGATGAATTCTCAGTAGGATTAGTTTCTTCAGGCTAACACAAAAGTAAAAATAAACTCAGCCTTTATTAATAAATAACATCAAAACATATTTTCAAACCATTTCTTGAAATAAGAAAATATCTTTTCTAGGAATGGATTCCTCTCTATTATAAAAGTTTCTATTAATTTGAATTACTATCTCAAGTCTTCAGGTGAGAAATGTTAAAGAATGCACAATTTTGTTATTTCTGGCCATTCTCCTCTCCCTTTTTTTTAGTAAGAGAAATCCAATCTAATTCAGAGGGGCAATACATACAGCAAAAGGTTTGATTTTCTACCCTCCCCTGTAGCTAGGTATGGCCATGTAATTGAGTTATTGCCAGTCACATGTATATAAATGTATGGTGTGGGGCTTTAAGAAACTCTCTTTGTTTCTTTTGTTTGTTTACATGTCTCCTTTTCTAATGTGTGAGCTTTTGGGGGGGGGGGCTTTGCATATATTTATATTTTTAATGGTGTCAGGCAAAAAAAAAAAAAAGGTGAAGACTACATCTTCATATCCTTAGAAACTAGTCCAATGCCCGGCACATATCAGATTCTCAGCACGTGTTGAACTCAATGTCTGATCAGGCATAGAAGATTTAGGTCACATAACGGAGACCTTGGAATATGAATGTGATGACTGGAGCTTCAGGAGCCATTTTATATCATTGAAGATGGAAGCCACATGCCAAGATAGTGAGGACAAAGATGAAAGGAGCCCACATCCTAGGTAACTGCAGAGCTACCATTCTAGTCCTGGGTTTCTCACCCCTAAGATTTTTTCATGTGAAAGAGAAATAAAAACTTTTAATTTCTTAAATTGGTGTTATTCTGGGTTTCCTAGCATAGGCAATCAAATGTAATTCTACCTGATAGAGTATGCCAATACGAGGGCATCTTACTTTAGACTAGCCTTACAGTCATACCTCATTTCATTGCACTTTGCTTTATTGTGCTTCATAGATGTTGTATTGTTCACAAATTGAAGGCAGGACCTCTACCCTAAAAGGATTACAACTCACTTTATTGCAGTGGTATGGAATCAAATCTACAATATCTCAGAGGTATGTCTGTGTTTATCTCTAGATCTCAAAGATGAATGGAATATCTAATTTTAATTTTAAACATCTAACACAAAGACTAAGTTTTTGGATTTTTTTTATTGGAAATCCATTTTAATTGGAATTGATTTCAATTCATTGTCAAATACATTTAAAATTTGAAATTTCCTTTTTCAAGAAGAGTATGGCTCACAATAGGAATCACCTATGCCTGCAACATATTTGTAAGGCTAAAAATTTCAGCAGTAAAACTACACAATAAAAGATTTAATCTATGTGAAAACAACTTACAAGTTCGTTGGTTTCCACATCATGGCCATTCTGATACCTTCGTGAATTCCTAAGGCTTTTATGAGTAGAATTCCTATATAGGCGAGATTTCCAGCCATTTGGGGCCATACCCGTGGCAGCCTTTTCATCATTTAGTCCAACTTCAAATTCTTCCGACTGGATCTGGTTTCCTGATGTCTGAAAGAAGAAAATGTTAAAGTGTGTGTGTGTGTGTGTGTGTGTGTGTGTGTGTGTGTGTGTGTGTGTGTTTCCAAATCTGTCTAACTTCCAAGCTTAGAACCATAAAGTTATTTCCAATATTACTTGTGTCAAGACTTTTAGATTCCATAACACCATCTTAATCAAAATTAGCTGAAAAACTGTAAAGAAGTGTATCAACACATGGAAGTTTAAAAAAGTTAAAAACGATAGAAAAGTTAAATTCAATTTGAATAATATAAAAATTCGAGTATAAAAGTGTTTTCTAAAACTAAAAGGCAAATTTTTCATCATCCAGCAGGTATGTAGGAATTTCCTCAATATGTAAGAATCCAGAGAACAAGGCATGACCACCAGGAAAGGGAGGAAGAATAAGGAGAAATATTATCAAGGGCTCACTTTTGAAGCTACAAATAAGAAAAATCTAGTCACTCCCAATAGGAGGCAATTAAACTGATTTCCTTGATTGGCTGAGTGCAATCATCATCTCTCTTCCTCATAGTCCTTCTCAGAACCACACTTCGACCTGTAGGCTCAGTCTCAATGCCGGCTTTGGAATCAATTCTCTTCTTAAAGGAGAGGAAAGGGGGAATTTAAGGACCCCTAGCTAGTTTAATGCCAGGCGAGAACATCAAGCCAACCTTGGTAGAGTCTAATTTTGAGTCTGGTTCCCTGTTTGCTCTTCCATGTTCAAGTACACATCTTAATGGGTTGTCCAGGACCTCAGTCCTTGTAGTACTGTCTTGTTCTTGCTCCTCCCCTTCAGATCATGTCATCCAACTCAATCAGCAGCCTATCTTGATCTCTGCATATTATCTGATCCTAGCTTTCCATGTGCACTTTCAATACCTAACAGAATGTTGCCTGTATACCTTGAACCACACTACAAGGATATGTTCTGTTTGGTGGACTTCTTTACTTTCTTATGACTGAAACTGTTTTATATCACATCCCAACCAAACCCAACCTAGACTAAAGACTTAGTCTTGTAACTGATCCCTGCAACCTCACTTCCATCCACTACCACACTGCTACCAGTGATCATTTCTGTTTAGAAACAAAAACAAGACAAGGTTGTATTAATACTAGTTTGGTCTCTGTAGTTTGAAAAAAAGGAAGCAGCATTAACTTGAGCATTTGTAAACAATCGAGATCGCTACAGCCCTTTCCTTCATCTCCACCAACAAGTACAAGTTAAGGAAAACCCCAAACGAGAAGTGGGAAAGGTGTGGGCATCAAAGTGGAGAGGTTCAAAGGGCCTAAGAATCATAGAATACCAGAGCTGGTAGAAACATCAGTGATCAGTGCAGTCTCTGCTCATTTAATAAGTGAGGACAACAAAACCCAATGATTTGCCCAAAGCCATTGCTTAATTGGTGGCAGGCCTTTTCTATCACATCAGGCTACTTGTTCAGTCTCTAATTGTACAATTTTTCCTCGGGAAGAAAGCTTAGGGAATATGATCAGAGCTGTCCTTTTACCCTTTGGCAGTCCCCCAGCCTAAGTCCCGAGGGGAGTGGAAGGTCATTTTTTTCAGGGGCACAGAAATAGGCCAGCTAGGGGCGAAAGTGGTTACTTCATTTGAAGACCCAACATATCATCACAGGCAAAACCACAGATATATATATAGTTTAACTAGTGAAATGATAGAGACCATGTGATAGCCAGGCCATATAAAAGCAATTAGCAAAGACATTGTGATTAATCTCTTCCTGCTGGAGAACATTCTCTGGAAAGTTGAAGCAAGAATTATAAAACTTTCTACCATTTCATTTGATATTTTCACTTTGGAGACTTTGCAAATTTCAATAATAATCATTTCTCATGCATCTATTTTTGTTCAGGTGCTTTTTAAAAATGAAACAGTCTTTTAAGACATAACTCTCATACCATAAAATTCACCCTTTTAAAGTATGTGTGTTTTTTTTGTTGTTGCTTTTTTAGTATATTTAGTGCTTATTTTTTAATCTTATAACACGGTAGGTTATAAGAAATTGTGGAAATTGAGGCTCAGAGGAGTTATTTGTCAGAAAATGAAGCAAATTTTTGTCAACTTTTTTTTTTTATCTGTGTGTGCTCCAAAATCACACATATTTACAGTAGAGAAATACTGATTACAAACTAAGTATTCAACTTTAGAGAAATGATTAAGCAATTTATTACACATTAATTTAATGGACTGCTAAGAACTCATTAAAATGATCATTTTAAATGATGTATATCTAAAAGATTAAGGAAAAAGAACAACAAAAAAGTATGTGTATACTAGTTATAGTTATATATCAAAGCAAATATATATATTTTTATAAATATAAGAATCATGTTTATAAGATAAAATGTATTCGGTGTATTTGTTTTGAAAAGTTGCTCAAGCAAATAAGCACAATAAAATGTCTTTTTCAGTAAGACAAATCAATTATTACCAATATCACCTTTTTTAGGAATTAGAGTGAATAACTGTTCTTTTTTTTTTTTTAAGAAAAACAAACTATGGGCATATCTTGTTTTATCACATTTCACTTTATTGTGCTTCACAGATAGTACATTTTTACAAATTGAAGGAAAGACCCTCCACCAGCAAAAAGATTATGACTTGTTTCACTGGGATACTTGCTTTATTGTGGTCTGGAATCGAACCCACAATATCTCTGAGGTGTGCTTGTATTCATTTCCGATAGCCATGAATCTTGCTATTGGTTTTATTAGGATCATCATGGGAAGCATTTTAAAATCACACAGAATGTCCCCCAACCACTAGAGATCCTGGCATTGCTCTCTTCCCCCTACCACTGCCCCAATCCACCCTAATCCTACGGTGGAAAGGACTTGTTTGAACACATTCCCCGGACAATTAAGAATCTCTGTCCTAAGGAATAAGTTCAAAATGTTTTTGACATTTTCCTTTATTTTCCTCCCCCCTCACCTTCCTCTCAGGATTCTTACACTGATTCTGAATTAAAGTCCCAAATGTATACTTTTAGGCATCTTCCTGAATATTTCTTATTCCTCAGTATGACATTAGCTGCATAATATTTTAATTATGTAAAGAATACTACATTGAGGATCAAACAGCAGAAACCATTCCTGGGAAGCAGATACCTACCTGCATGTTGACAAGCTTGAAGTACAGCCCTTCCTTCTTCATCAGTTCACTGTGGCTTCCTTGTTCCACAATGACACCATCCTCATACCCGGCGATGACATCTGCATTTCTGATTGTAGACAATCGGTGTGCGATCACAATGGTGGTCCTGCCTTCTCTAGCCTAAAGGGGAAAAGGACAAATGTGGAGCAGCGGGTTTACAGTGTCGACGCACTGCCGAATAACATGCACACACAATCAAGCACTTGGATGGGAGTGTTTGCGGTTGATGAGACAGTAGCCAACTCTCCCCATGCGATTAGAGCACAAAAGCATCATTCAACTATGGAAGGTTAAAGCGAGACGAGCTCTGGACCAGACAGGAGGCCAATCCCTTCAATATGAGAATTAATAACTCTGGAAGCTTAAGTAGTGTCAGTCTATACTCAAGAAACACAAGAAAAGATTTGACCCTTTTCAAGTGTTTTCATACTAGTTCTGAGTTATATGGCATACTAGTGACTTTAGCAGAACCATGTTAGAGGAGTTGTTGATACATACAGCACTTCTGTAGGTTTCTTTTGAAGTGCCTGATTATACCTGTAATTCTAATAGATAATATGAAAGCAATTTAGGTAAAAATGTACCTTGGGATCTGGAATGGTTCGAAATGTGCTTCAAAGACCATCCGAATAACAATCTCTGGAGTGGGGCCAGTAACTCCGATTTTTAATAAGTGCCCCAGGTGATTTTTCTATGCATGCTAAAATCTACAAATCACCCCTCTACATAGTTCAGTGAACTCACATGTTGGCTTGGTAGGTTCCTGAACAGGCATTTAAACACTGGAAAATGCTCATCAAATTATTCATGTTATGTCATTAATTATGGTTACTGTTCTTGATAGTTATTAGCCCTATTAGGCCAATAGCTTCTTAAGACTATTTCTACTTTGAGGCAATAAAACCTCATTGTTAGGATAGTTATTAGAGTAAAACCTAATTCACCTAAGTAGTTAAACATATAAATTAAAAACAAGAGGCTAGATTCAAAATCAGCAAAAAGTGGGAACAATTCAAATGTTCATCAGTTGATCAAAGGATGAACAAAATGTGTAAATTTACAATGGAATATTATTGCACCATAAAAATGAATTCTAATGCATGTTTCAGCATGGATAACCTTAATAATATCATCCTAAGTGAAAAAAGCCAATCGCAAAAGACTACATATTGTATGATTCGATTTATATGAAATGTCCAGAATAGGCAAACTCATAGAGCCAGAAAGTAGATTGGTGGTTGCCGAGGACTAGGGTGAGTGTGGAATGAGGAGTGACTGCTAATGGGTACAAGGTTTGGAATGATAACAATATTCTGCAATTAGATAGTGGCGATGGTTGCAGAATCTTGTGAATATACTAAAAACCAATGAACTATACATTTTAAAGGGTTGAATTTTATGGGATATGAATTGTAGCTCAATTTTTTAAAAAAGAGCAGCCATGAAAATTCTGAAAAAGAAGTTAATGTGAGGGGAAACATCTCTCCCAGATATTAAAACAAAACGCGACAGCATTTAAAATAGTAAAATCCAGAGGAAGCTTTCACATGAGTAGGCAGTTTAGTCAACAGAATGAAATAGAGTACAGAAATAGATATAAAACATTTAAGAATTAGTATATGATAAATATGACATTATCTATCAATAGGGAAATGATGGATTATAAATAAATGGTATTGTGCCAATTGTGTAGCCGCCTGCAAAAAATAATGTGGTCTCATTACTACAGTCCCTACTCTAAAATAACTAGATGAATCAACTGCACTTAAATAAATATAAAAGAGTTAAACCACAAAAAGAGAGACAAGGTCACAGCTCTACTGGACAACATTTAAGACTGTTCTTTAATTTTTAGTATAGAGGATCCAAAGACGTATTAACAAATATTTACTGATGTGAAAATTGCATGGCTTGGTCCATGCATGATAAAGCATATGGGAAATAATTTGATCAATATAAATATATTCATGATACTAACACTGATGAGTAAATTGCTAACTATGTTATCATTATAATAATAGGTTTACGTTATATCAATACAAACAAAGAAAACCCAGAGGAATTGGAATTAGAAGTGTGCAGGTGAAACAAAGTATATATTTGTGAATTTAAAAGTTAACAACTATCACCCATGATCAAGAAATTTTGGCCAGAGTAGAGATTTGACATAAAGAGATTCATTTTCATATCTCTTAGACACCCCAACAATGACAAGACATTGACAAATAGCCTAGATTCAAGGATATCAATTATTAAGAAATTTGAATCTTGTACTAGTTTTGGATATGGAGGGATGAAAGGCAGGCCCAAATAAAGGGAGTATTAACTCATTAGCCTTTCTGGAACTTCTGGGTGGAAAAACATAAAATGAAACCTTTTGGAATCATTTCACAAAATCACCATGAAGGCTATCTTTTAGTTCTTTTCTTACTCCTCCTGTATGGTAACACTGTGAGTAGGAGAATGCATATAGGTATGAAATTTTGTGATTATTGACTTTCTTTTAAAAAATCAAAATATCTTTCAGATCTTATATTGAAAAACCTATTATTTATTTTGATAAGTAGTTGCTATCTATTGAATCAAAAGCTGGTATGGTCATTAAATTTTTTTAAATGTAAACATGTATTATCTCAATGAGGTGGACCATGGTAATATTTATTTAGTCTCCACTATGTAAAAGGCACTATACTGAGTGTTATAGAGATACAAATATAAACCATTTATTAATTTTGCTTCTTAGGGGGCATTTATTCTTCCCAGGAGAGAGAAAGCATATATGAGAACCACATGCTAACCGATTGCGCCACTGTAGCTCCGAGAGAAGGCATATAAATAAATAGCTAACTACAATAAATTGAGGCCACACAAAAAATACTGATAAATGTATAAAGGATCCAGAAAAGGAAAATATTATTCTTCCATGATAGGTAATCATGGAGAGATAACAATAGATAATAGGTATGTCCTTTTTTTTAGGAAAGATAATAAATTATAAAACTCAACTTTCCATTTTTAAAAGAAAGTTGGTTTTTAACTTAGAATGACTGGCCAATTGACTGACTACAATCCTTGTAGACAGTACACTAATAAAGGATTTCCCTTTCAAAGATAGTTTATTATCTGCAAAATGTATCAGTTTAACTAGCCTGCAAAGTATGGCATCAACTGAGTAGATTACAAACTATTCACAGTAACTATGGGAGATTAAACATGGCCACAAACACTTTGCAGCTACTTTATCCACAGAGGGAGTCTATTTTTCCACCTCCTCAAATCTGGGCAAGGCTTTTGACTTGTTTTGACCATAGAAGAGTGTAAAGGAATTGATGCTTGTGTAGTTTCTGGAGCCTAGGCTTCATGAGGCCTTACAGTTTACATGTTTGCTATCTTTGAATGCTACCTTAAAACAGTGAAAGGAAGCTTGTCTAGTCTGTTGGAGGATGAGAAGCCTCATGGAGGAGAACCCAGCTCCTTCAGGCCACAGCCATCATCAACTGCCAGGCACTTGAGTGAGGCCATCTTAAATGTTCCAGCCCAGCTAACCCTGAGCTGAAAGTAGCTCTCTGAGGGGGACCAGGTGAAACCAACAGAGGAACCACAGCAGCCAACGCACTTAGTTCTGGCTTAAAGAAACTGATATGGAAATTGGTAATTAGATTGGGATGCCTCTGTAACAAAAACCTAAAACATGTAACATTGGCTTTAGGATTGAGATCTGAGTCAGTGGCTGAAGGGAGGTGTTGATATTGTTAGTGGAAACTGGAAGAAAAGTAAGGAAATTGCTATTCGGAGGCTAGAAAGAGGGTGACCTTGGAATAACTGGAAAAATTACGTAACCTTGGAATAACTGGAAAAATTTTTTCCTGCAGTAACTTGGTAGAAAGATATTTTATCTAATGAACTTGTGCATTTAGTTAAGGAGATTCCAGATAGCTCTAAATAGAATGTTGGAAATGCCAATTGGATTCCAATGGCTATATATGATAAGGTATGGTATGAGAAGATCTAAAGAAGAAGCTATTTGTTTTTCAAGGTAAATTTAGAGGCAACACAGAAGATCAGTACTTGCTGGGTTGGAAAATGAAGTCTTAGTCATCCAGTGAAACGAGGCCAAAGATCTAATCAGGATATGAGTGTAAGATTTTTTTGGTTAAAATCTCTGTAAGATTTAAGCAGATTCTAGTACACGCACTCAGCTACATAAAAAGGCTTCTAAGATTCTTAAGTAAGGGTTTTCTCATGGCAGTTTCACATGCAGCCCAAAGTAGAGGTTTGTCTTAAAAAAAAATAATGGGTGTAGCTTTGGAGACTTGAATAAACCAGTCAGATTCCAAGCAAACAAAGTCTTTAAGAGAGCCCATCAGCTTTGACTAAAAGAGATTGAGAAGAAAAAGAAAAAAATTTTTAAAAAGAGAGATTGAAAAATTCAAAATGTAAAGTGGCCTCTGGGTCCCAAATTCCTATGGGCACAAAGCATGCTGAGAAAGCTAGTTAGCTGCAGACGCAAGCCATTTCTTTTGTAAAATGAAAGACCTCTCAGAAGGCGGATCCAGGAGCCTAGAGGATAGAGCCCAAAACCAAGGAGAACAATAGACTTAGAGAACCCACTATTAGGGGGCAAAATTGGGCCTCGATCAGGGAACATTACCTTTTCCCGGAGCAGTGGGTAATTGGCAACATGTATCTGACTGCATTTCAGAATTGCTATGAACCAGTAACTGCTGTGTGCTTCCCATTCTTCTCTTTTTTGAACAAGAGTGTCTATTACTATTATCCTGTCCCTGAATCACCATTATGTGTTGGGTGTATGTGTGGAAGATAACTTGTCTCTTTAGTTCATAGTCTCTGGATCAAAATGAGCTTAACGTGAAGAATCTCATCCATATCTGGACCACATACAGATCTTCAAAAATGGGACTTTGATTTTGATGTCATAATTGTGAGCCTGAGGTCAAAATATATGAAGCTTTTGAGGGTCATGGGAAGAGGTGAATTTATTTTGCATGTGGGAGAAATGTAAACAATTGTGGCAGAGGGTGTGCTGTGGAAGATTAAATATGGTCACAGATACTTTACAGCTCACTCATCAAGAGGTGGAATCTATTTCCTCTCTCCTTCTATCTGGGCTAGCCTCGTGACTTGCTGTGACCAACAGAATGTGGTTAAAGTGACATGGTATAAATTCTGGAGTCTAAGCCTCTAGATATCTTATAGCTCCTGCTTCTGGGTACACTGGCCTGAGACTTCCACATAAAGAAACCGAGTTAGCTTATTACATAAGTATGATCATGAGAAGCCACATGAGATGCCCAGCCAACAACCAATATGTGAATGAGACCATCTTGGACCATTCTAGCTAAATCAACCCTCCAGGTAAATGTAGCCATATGCTCAGGTGAAAATAGTAGCAGATCCACCCAGCCAAGCTACAGAATTATTGTTTTACATCTGAATTTGGGAAAGTTTGTTATGCAGCAACAGGTAACTGATTCGGCAGTCAATTAAGTCAATAATAATCATAGTAATGGTAATCAACATAATAATAATAATAGCTAACAATATCAAGTGTTTCCCATGTGCAAGGCATGTACTAATAACTTTACATGCAATATCTCATTTAATCTTTTCAATATCCTATAACGTTATATTTCCCTCTCTCCCCAATTACTTCTGCAGTAAGGGGCTAGTTAATATGCCCAAGGTCACACCGCTAGAAAGAGACAGAGCCAGGACTCCAACCTCAGCTGGTCTAGCACCAAAGCCTATGCTTTTAACCATGACCTCAAGCTTCTAATGGCTTTTCTTGGAGATTCTAAAAAATTATGAGAGATTTATCAGCTATTTTAAAAGCCATTATGTGTTGGGTGTATGTGTGGAAGATTATCAACTGATTGCTGGGCCATAATTCTACAGAACACAAATTGCTAAAACTGAGTGGTGTAACTTGTGCAAATAAGAATTAAAACTTCCAAGGCCACATGCAGGATCCATATCATGAAAAACAATATCTCTAATAATCCTGTTCTTTTAGCACAGTAAGGGCTAATATATCGAATATTTGTATCCTAGAAAGTATTGGGCCCTGGGCCCTAGGATTGAATGGGACTTTTTGCCCCCATAACTAGCTCTCTTATCCTACTGACTTTATACTAAAAAGTCTATGTTGACACATGAATACCCATTTATAAGTTTTAAGTTAAAACTAATTGTTTAATTTATAAAATTTTTATGATTTATTGCTTTAAGTCACTTCTAATTAACCAACCAAATACCTGTCTCCCATATTTTATACATGTGGTTACTTAATATTGAGACTTTAAATACACAAAAGCAATATAATTCAGTACAAGAATTTTTGAGAAATAATTATTATCTCATTAATCATCATAAAATGATTTAAGATAAGCCAAAATAGCAATCTGATAAACCAGGAAGCATTCATTAACTATAGTTTACAGCACACAAGCAGTTGTAATTATTTAAGATTCAGGTATAAATTTTCCTGAGAAAATAAGATTTATACAGCTTGTCCCTAAAATTGCAACAGGTAGTTTGGATAGAACCTGTTAAGGAATTTGCACGTTTTATTACTAAACTTTCTCAAATCAAATATATTTTATATTTATGTATTTGAAATCCATTTATATGGTGTCATTTGACTCTAGTTTTTATACTGTGTTATTACAGATGACATCATCACTAACTGCAGAAGTGTCCCAAGATTAAAGGACTTCTTGTGAAGCTTCAGCTTGAAGAGATAGTGAGAGATTTAGAAACACTTGACCCAGGTACATGAGGTCAGCATCCTTAAAAGGTGTTGCTTATGTATATGTTTAGACAAACACACAAGTTTAAACTTTATTTCCAGAAAGGCATCCATTCACCTTTGTGAATAGATAAAAATGATGTTACTGCCTACAAAATAAGGCAAGTATTTTAACTGTTTTTCAGTTGGACCAGTATTTAAGTAACTAGGTTTTATAAAAAATATTTTTACACAACTATTTTGGATCAAAGCAATAGCCTATGTGCAAGAAAAAATCAAAGATAGGTGGCTCATTGCACAGGCCTGGATTTGAGCTCTCTTCACCTTAGTCAAAGCAAGCCAGTTAATGGGTCATCCACCTCTCTGCAATATGACCAGAAAGGAGAAATCAATAAAGTCTAATGAGAGAGTTTTATTTGCTCTTATGTTTATGCTTTTCAATGTAGACTCGCAAAACACTGGCAAGAATTTTCAAAAAGTTTCAATCCGCTGGTCCTTCAGGTGTTTAGCATCTACTGACCTTATCCAGAGCTGCCTGTACTTCAGCTTCACTTTCAGTGTCCAAGGCTGAAGTGGCCTCGTCTAGCAGGAGGATCTTGGGGTTGCGAACCAGAGCCCTAGCAATGGCGATTCTCTGTTTCTGTCCGCCACTCAGCTGAGCCCCTCTTTCTCCAACCAGGGTGTCAAATTTCTACAGCAGAAAACATGGAGGAGCTCTTGAAATATTTTAAATAGAAAAGAATATGGAGTCTAGAAATCCAGTAAGACAACATGGAGCTTCATTTTTACTGCCACAATGAGTCAGAAATTATAATAAAATAAATGAATACTGAATTCTAATAAACTACTAACACATACTCTGCATAAAATTTTATATGATTTATGTACCAGGCTATACTCTTTAAATCTCCGACTGAATAATTAATTCAAGGGACTTACGTAGCAAAGTTGCGCAATCTTGCATCTCCAACATTATTAGCTTAACCTTTGCAGAAAGAACTTGATCGCATGAGGCAAAATTCTAATTTTGAGGGTAACTACATTCACAAAGTGTGTACCTGTGGTAATTTCATGATAAACTCATAGGCATTGGCTTCTTTGACAGCTTTCTTTATCTCATCCATGGTTACATTTCCACGGCCATAACGAATATTTTCAGCAATTGTGGTAGAAAATAGCACCGGCTCCTGACTCACCACTCCAATTATTTCTCTCAGATACCTTACATTAAAGGTCCTAATATCCTGCCCATCAATGTTAATCTGAAAAAAAAGTTGTTTTCATTAAATATTTTAAACCATTTGATGTCTAAAGCATCAAGACCCTTTCATTTGTTTTGAAAAAGTCTTAGCTAATATTTAACTTATTTCAGTGGTTAGAAATGAGAATTAGAAATAAATGGCAATGTACAAGAATAAAAACAAAAAAGTATATGCTCTCTTTTGATATTTATCGCCATACATATACGGTTTTTTCATGGATGGATCATTCTCCATAAACGCTATTGAGTTATATATTTTTAGCATACTATTATTTTTGCTTACCATTATTAAGGTTGAATAAAAGTGTCCATTTACCTACCTAGTCTACTTATCGCTTCGATGGCATTATGATGTTTTACTATATGTACTACATCATAATTTACTTTAGCATTTCCCACCTGCTGGACATTTGGCTTCCTTTAAGCAACACTGAAGGACAATCATTGTAGAAGGAGAGAATTACCACGTTGGAGAGTACCATTTCTTTTTCCTTTTCTAATAACAATTGCTTACCTATACAATGACTGGTGTATGTTGGGCATTTATTATTTGCTGAATAAAGGTTGAAAAAGCAACCTTCTAAAAAGATTTTAATAATTTACATTATCAGTAGGAATATATAAATACATCTGCTTCACTATAATTTACCAGCTCTGGGTTTTATCATTTAAATTTTTTTTTTAATTAGTAGGTATGAGGCGGTAGCTTTGTTTTAATTTGTATATGTTCATATGTGAGGCCGAACATTTCTTGAAACTTTTTACAAATCTACATTTATTCTAGAAAGATTTGCATATTCATATGCTATTTCAGATTCTTATTACAATTGACCCTTGAACAACTTGGGGATTAGGGGTACCAAACCCCAACGCAGTCAAAAATCCACCATTAACTTTTGACTCCTGCAAACCTTAACTACTAATAGCCTACTGTTAACCAGAAGTTTTGCCAATAAGATAAACGGTCTATTAACACATATTTTGTATGCTACGTGTATTATATATTGTATTTGTACAATAAAGTAAGCTACAGAAAAGAAAATATTAGGAAAATCATAAGGAAGAGAAAACACATTTACAGTATTTATTGAAAAAGTCTATATACATAGTTCAAACCTGTGTTGTTCAAGGGTAAGCTGTAATTTCTCAAATATTAAATATAATAGTTTTCCCATATATATCATAAATCATTTGTTCCAATTTACTGCTTTCTTTTATTGTAGTTTTACCATTTTTTATTGGATAGAACTTTAAGGAAAAATTGAATTAATCAACCATACCACTGGCATTTCTTCTATTGTTTTAGTAGTAGAAAATTGTTAAATCATGATGTGAACCCTGAATATCTCCAAGTTAAAGAATTTCTAAAGGTTTTTTTTCCTACTGACATGTATATTTTTTAAAAAATATGTATTGCTCCAGTAATAATTTTAAAAATAAGATATTTTTAAATGCGTATCTTCAATGGTTAGTATTTTGCTAAGTTTTATAGAAAAAAATGTTCACACTTTAACCAACTTAGAGTTTACTTTAGTAAATGAGAATGGGCCTATGTTCCTCCTTAGTAATATTAGATTTTTCCAAGAATGGTTATTAATTTTATTAAATAAATAAATAATTCATGTACCCAAAAGACTTTGTATTTATTCCTGTAATCTCTGTTATAGCTCAATGCCTTTTTATGTTTTTTTGTTTTGTTTTGTTTTTCTTTGTAACTTGTGATCTTCTGATTTCATAACAATACATTTTAATGTCAGGTAAACTCAATGTCTCAAAATTGGTACAGGTGAGAAAATTTGAATATATACTGTGGGCTAGTATTGTATCAATGTTAAATTACTGACTTCGATAATTGTTTTGTAGCTATATAAAAGAATATCATTCTTAGAAAACATATTTTTAAGTATTAGGATTCAAAAAATCATGTCTTTAACTTACTCTCAAAGGTTCAGAAAAAAAATTCGTGTATGTATGTGTGTGTGTGTTCCCTGTACATACACATGAGGAGACAGAGATAAGACGATAAAGCATGTGGGTCAAAATATAAATAATTAGTAAATCTAGATGAAGGGTATATGTGAGTTCCCTGCTTGCAACCTCTCTGTAAGTCTGAATTTATAACAAAATTTTTAAGCGGCAAAAATATATACCCTCCTAGGCTATTACCTTCCCCATGTCCCCAGAAGTTCCTTAAGAAACTATCCCACTTTCCCCTTCAGCTATTCTAACATTTAAGAAAACTGAACTAATCTTTGATGAATTTAATTACTGTCCTAAGGTTTCTCGTGACCCTGATGACCAGATTGTCAACAATTTCCACAGGGACTATTTTTGACCAAACAAAATATCTCATTGCAAATAATCCTCTCAGTGGTTTGGATGACTGTTTTCCAGTCATTTAGTGATTATGAAAAGCTTAGTTGGAACACAAAAAAAATGTGGTCTAGTTTCTTTGGCTTTTATCATCTTGTATGCTTTTGTTAAATTAGCCCAAGAGTTTGAATGCATTATCCAAAGGCATTGCAATTCCACAGCCCTTTTACCAAAATTGCATTCAGATGCAAATTTGTTACTAAAAAACAATTTCAAAGGGCTAATTGGTACTTCCGCTTTGGAGAACTTGGTTCTTCCCACTTACCATACCCTCAGCAGGGTCATAGAGCCTCTGTATCAGCTGAACTGTTGTACTTTTCCCACAGCCGCTGTTCCCAACCAGGGCTACTGTCTGCCCACTCTGAATCTGCAGGTTGAGGCCCTTCAAGATCTGTGAGAGCAAAGAGAGAAAAATAACAGACTTTACAACAGAACCCTAAAAGGGGAATAATTTAATTCAATTTTAAATTTGAAAAAAAGTATCAAATAAGGGAATATAACCCAGAAAGGAAAAAGCACATAAATATCAAAAGATCAGAGACTTCGGATTCTTTAAGATGATAAACAATCAGTCTGAGTTAGGAATCCCTATAAATACTGCTGACAGTACCTTGACATTAGGTCGAGCTGGGTAAGAAAAATGGACATCACTGAACTCCAAATTCCCTTTGATGTTGTCTGGTTTATGTCCTCTCTCTGAAAAACTGTCAATTTTAGGATTCTAAATAAAACAAAATTCAATAACTATTCCATCATAGAACAAATAATTGCAATTTTAAGGAATACGATTCGGCAAATTCCAAAAATAAGACTTGGAATGGCACAATCTCCCTCATATGAGACAGAACCCAAAGTAAACATTCTGTGTGTGTATGTGTGTGTTTAAGGAAATATTCATTCTCAGAAAACAGGTATCTCCTCAAAAAACCATAAGGGATATACTCATTTCATTTTATACAATATTTTGCTTTAAGGTTTTGGCACAGCCTTATAAATTTTCTAACTGGTCAGAAACTCATGTTTATACAACTGTAATAACAAAAACATGCCATGATTGATATAGCCTGGTATTTCAGCATTCAGTGAAAATTAGCTTATTCCTAAATAATAAGTGTAATGGATTGGGTTGAGAAGGCTGAATGAACAATTCGTTAGAGCCAAGTTTTTTAGGAATAATGTAAACTTTCAGCATATTGGGAAGCTGAGCAATTTTCCCATGACTTAGATCAATGAAACAGGAGGAACTGTTTGGATTAAATGATCAAACTTAGTTTATATGTCAAAACTATTTATTTCACTGCAGTCAATACAACTTATTTAATATAGTTGATTCAAAATCATATCGAACATGCAATGATCACTTTTTTTTTGAGGGAGGCAACCCACAGCAAAACATACTGTCAATTTTGGTCCCATCAATAATTTTCCATCCACTCATCCTATATAGAAATCATAATTGTCTCAGTCTGGCTACAACATGAAAGAGAAAGGGGGGAAAACTAGGAAGATAAACATCTTTGCTCTGAACTCTAATAATAACACTAGTGCAGATGTACTTTTCCAAAATGAGATCAATGTTATTATATTACTTAAAAGTAAACTTTTAGAAATATTAATGAAGCATTTTGTTTCATTCATTACTAAGAAGAGGTTGTTGATTTCACATAATTAATTTCCACATGATATTTAACCTAAAGCCAGATTTAATTATCCAAGCCTCAAAGAATTTTTCAGCATTAAAATAATAAAGAACTCACGTTATCTATAATATCAAAGATCACATATGCTGCTCCTCTTGCATTGGCAAAAGCGTCAATACATGGAGCAGCCTGTCCAACGTTGAAAGCTCCGATCAGGATTGAAAAAAAGACCTGAGCAAAAGAATATGAGAAAAAATTATAAGTCCCATTCTGGCATCCATTATTATCTCAAATATGATTCGTTTGAGAACAACACATTATACAAAGGGTTGAGTTTAGGTTTATCTGGTTTTTTTTTTGTTTTTTTGGGTTTTTTTTTTTTTTTTTAGCAAAAGAGCAAAATTTACAAGGTTACTATAGCATTTCATTTCACAAATTTGTTTCTTCAACCTCAAAAATATATTTTGTCTAGCTTGCCAAACTATCTGTTGCTCTTCTCCTGAACTTATAATAGAGTTAGAAAGGTTTTCAAACCTATACTCTTGACTCTGAAGCTAATGCCACTAGAAGGAAGCATTTTCCATCAGTATTATTATTCAGTTCTATATGATTTTCTTTAACTATTTATTGAATTACACAGAATGTTCAAGATGAAATGTGATAGATTTTGACCCCATGGAATTGTCCTTAAAAAGTACCATTTTACAAACATATTTTGATAAAATTTTTAATATAAAGAGTAACAATTCACACTATAAAACCTTAAATCACTCCTGTGTGCACTGATTAATAATTCTTTTACACAATTATTCTGTATTATAGCACAAAAAGCTTAACACATTTCCCTTCATATACTTTTTCACTAGGAAAATAAGTTGATATAGAAAAGCCAAGACTATAGCTTCAAGAATCTAGATTATTGTGTAACTCAACTGAAGAAAACAAAAATGAATTGTAACTACTCCTTCCTCTCCAGGCATGGTGAAACTCTACACATAGTCTGGCTTTTCTCAGAAGATAGTAACAACAACATTTCATGTACCCAGAACTCAAATATCCCTCATGTATCTATTCACTATCTGCAATACAGGTAAGAACCAGTAAGAAAGCAAGAAAGTCTCTATCCAAATATATGTTATAAAGTTAATGCACTAGAGTACTTGATGCAGAGGGCGTTGCTGGGCTCCCTATGCACCACAGGAATCACTCTCCAGCCCCACTGGGGAGATGTCACTGTCCACACACCACAAGTGAGGAGACTATGCCATAGGGGACACACTCATCACAAAAAGTGAATGGCAAAGTCGGGATTCAATGTCCTTTCTTCATAAAATTTAGCAAGTAAGGAAGTGAAGAAAGGTAGAGAGTTTCCAAGTTGATAACCAGAGTAGACCAAAATAAGAGGGGAAAAAACAACACAGCAATTGTTAAAGTTCATCCAGCCAGACAGCTCTCAACTCCTCAATGGAGTATGCAGATACCACTCTAGAAAATATTTTGAAGTCATTCATTTTCTCAATGGCCCTAAGTCATCAGCAAAGGGCCAAATTGTTTCAACATCTTCTGTTTAGAAAGATACTTCTGTTCAGAAAGATAGGGAAGAACAGGTTTTAAAAGACTGCTATTTGAATGGTTACATGTTGTTCTGACAGTCACTGATATGGGCAGACAGTCACAAAATATTGCTAGTTTATAAAAATGGTTACAAAATAGAATCCATAATACAATTCCAGTTTTGAAATAAAAAAATGGGTGTATATATAGAAAATGATCTTGAAGATAGATATACCAAAAGTTATCACTAAATATAAGTCAATTATTAGATTATAAGTAATTCTAAGTAACTCCTAATTTTTAAATGATGTATTCTAAATCTTTTTATAACTAGTATACATTATTTTTATAATTACAAAATAAAACTATCTTCATTTTCAAAAAGAAAAACAAACTAAAATAACTTCATCTTGTATTTTAGATAGGTGATGTTCTATATTTTGTAAATTTAACAATTTCTTACACTATGACTTATCTATAATGTTTACTTTCTTATATAATGAAACTCAAGGGCAGAATGATGAGTCCAATCTATATTTCTTCATTCATAAAGTCATTCAATTTTCATTTTCTTTTATTTATTGTATATGTTTCTTAATTGGTCTTACTACATGCTATTTTCTTGGCCCCACTCATAATTACACCTTGTGTATTCTAGAAGGCCAGCTCTGCCCACAGGACAGAGCAAAGATTCACCAAAAGAAAAAAATCCTATAATCATGGCTCATCCTTCAAAAAAGAAGGAATATGAACGTAAAGAAAAGTTAGATGAATAAACAATATTTATAGGTTCTTCATAAATATTAGGAAAAGTACTCACAGTCATTGCATTTCCAAGAGTATATTCTTTTGATATAATTAGAGTGGATCCATACCAGAAGGCCAGAGCATATGATGCATATATTAATAGGAAGGCAATGCCCATGGAAATGTTTGCTGAAATAGCTTTTTTAATTCCAATCTCTTTGGCATTTTCTAGATGTTTCTGATACCTACCAGAAAAAGAGGGGAGAAACGTTATCATAAGAAATCAATCCGTAATCTGAGCCATATTTACCTCCTATGTAGTTGGATGTTTAAGGAACAAAGTCATCAAAGTAAGAAACCCGTGGTGAGACCCAGCTTCCTGGGAACTGAACCAATTCAGGATCGGCCCCGACTAGAGCCAATCTGAGCCTTCTTTTACTGGCCTGGACCCATCTCCCTCGGTCATCACCAGTACAACCACTGTCCCTGTAGCTGTTCCAAAACTGAACTCTCACTCCTGGGATAGGGAAGAACATCATTATCACCTTCCTGGTCAGCATCACAAATCAAAGTTAAGGTGGGAGAGAAAACCAAGGCAACCAAGAATGGCACCAAAATGTAAATACTATTCAGGACTCTTAAAATAGATTTCTTAATACAACTCAATTTCTCTTCTCTAGAGAAAATAAAATACTTCCTCTATTGCCCTATTGGGTGAGGGACAGAAATTTTACATGTCCTTGTACTTAAACTTGGGCCTTTGCTTTTTTGTTTTGTTTTGCTTTATAGTGTTTTGTTTTGTTTTTGATCAGGTTGACCTTCAACTGTCAAGCCAGGATACAAGGTTATAAAGTAGTCACTACTTGTGGGATATGGGTTCTTACTCAATGTTTGTAGATTTTGGTTTCATCATTTGTAAAATGAAGTGAATAATGCCTCCCTTGCAAGATAATTGTGAGGCTGACAGATTCTTAAAAGTAGTTAGTACAGTGCTGGCATATAGTTGGCAAAACCTGATAATTCCTATTTCTATTATCATTACTATTATTGTTTTAGAATTGATCTCTTTCTGAACATTGCTCATTCTGTTATTAAATTTTTGAATAGAATTAAAATTAATGTTACTAGCATTTAATACAAAGGCACAAATGTCTAGAATGGTTCTGTTAAATTACAATTCTGTTAAATTACATATGTCTAGAATGGTTTGGTTAAATTACAATGTTTTTTACATCAATTTAAATTAAATCTGCCTTTCCACACTAGACACAGAGAGGGTGTAATATTTAATTTGGCTCCCTAAATTTGGGGAAAAATCCAATGATATACAATGAGACTTTGGAAAAATATCATATAAAATAAGGTATTTCTGTTTATAACAAAAAACAAACAACATATTTTTTAGTTTAACCAAAAGAGATGTTGAGAATTTATTAATTTGTAAAGAATGTACGCAGCCACCAAAAGTATGTCTTTTTAATTACTGAAGCACCCAACTCTTCAGTGTAGTTTCCTCAGTGTTGGGTATTGCACTCACTTAGCAGAGCTGCGTCCCTGGGGAGACAAACAGCATGCCAGGCCCAACACTAGGATGAGTCCTGGGCTGGGCCTCAAGGCTTGTGCAGGGAGATTTACATTGTCCCCAATGTGACGCAAAGCTCCATGACAGTGGTGGACATGCTGTAATTACCTTCACTTAGGCGGCTTGCTTATTGCAGCTAATGGAGCGGCACTGATTACACTCACATCCTGAGGTCCAACTGAGGGTTAGTGTGGTCTGTGTGGACTATTGTGTACAGGAAGCAGCGGTAAGAGAGAAAAAGGGAGAGGTTAGAGAACCAAGAACACGGTGGTTTTGAAGAGGGCTTGAGGAATAGAAAATAGAAAATGAAATGGTGGAAATTAGAGAAACTTTGCTTTTAATGCTGGAGAATTTTCAAGAATTTCTATGTTAAAGAGTTCTGGGTACCAGGAGCCCCATAGAATGGCAAAAGAAAATACACAGAATTATACTTTGACTATATATTAGGAGATTTAAAGAAAACTGGTTGGGGACATTTAAGTAAAGTGCAGGGAGTAGCCTTTGGCAGTGGGCGTTGTTCTGGCATTTAGGTTTTTGTATATCAAGTTCCTTTAGAGCAGGAGTACTTGACCTGGGATCCAAGATCAAGGAACTTGAATAGAGGGAAAATTACTTATTTATTTTCATTAACTTCTAATTGAAATTTAGCATTTTCTTTCATTATCAATACAGGCAACAAACTGCTTTATTAGCAGTAATTGTGACTTTATTGCCAGTAGAAATCCCAGATCATTTTTATGTCATATTACGATTGATGCAATTATCTTGAAATATCTTTTACCCACATCTCTACTTTGGAATTATAGTAGCTGTGAGACCTATAGTTAGCTCTTATCATTTACTGTGTTAACAAAAAATATACATATTTGCTCTATCACGATTTAAAAGTATTTCGATAACTGAACTTCAATATAATTGGTTTCCTTTGTAATCCTATGTATTTTGTTTTATGCATTTAAAACAATTATTCTAAGAAGGGAGTCCACAGGCCTCATCAGACTGCCAAAGGAGTCCATGGAACATAAAGGGTAAGAACTCTGCTTTAGAGTCTAGCCATCGATAAAGGGTGCCTATATTTTGTGGGGCAGATAGTAATATTAGGAAAAGGAAAGTAGTGAACGTATACCACAAAAGAATGAGCAACAAAATGTAAAAGTGGGTTTTTTGAACCACTGGACAAAGAACTTTCCTGACCTTTCCTGCTCTTTGTTCTGGCCCCCAAAAGCTATCACGGTCCGGATGGCCCCCAGAGCCTCTTCTGCCACAGCACCTGCTTTCGCATATGCAGCTAGTTCTTTGTCACTATATGCCGAGAGTATCTGTACAGAAGAGAAACATTCATAATTTTGTATGGGGAGAAAAGTTAAAAGACAGTCTGATCAACTCTTAAAGTTACTTTTTCTTCCCAAATCCTATCTTTTACCAAACATTGAAATCATGAAGCTAACAACACTCAGTATACCAGGTCCAAAGGCTTCTTCCACCCCTACACAGGCCAGATCTGATCTACCCTTGTGATATACTCCTCCAGGAGTAGTCAGGAAAAGGAAATAAACACATAACTCTCTACAAAAAGTTTTTGGGAACAGTTCAAGTTCCACAACTACTGTTTTTTCCTTTGCTAATTGCAAAATAACCTAAAATAAAATCATATTGTTTTGAAAGGATTCCCCATCTTTTCCTTCACTGCGTCACAATTTTTAATTACTATGAAAACAATACTTTCAGATCTACTCACGAACATTCTACTGAATAATAAGATGGCTATGCACGATGTTGCAAGAGAAAGGTAAAAAAAGAATCCAAACAAAAGAGATCCAATAGTTTATAAAGTAAAAACATCAACTCCGGAATGAGCAAAAATTGCCAGTAAAATTTCTCAACTTTCCATATTGGCTGAAGCAGAACAGGTTATGTGTATTTTATTGTAAGGCAAAATTGGCAGAGTGCCACTTAACTATCCATTAAAAATAAATCAAACAAATCCAAACTTTATTTAAATTGTTTATATTCACACAGGAGTTTGAAGAAATGTATATTTTAAAATTGTTTTTCCTTAAATAAGGATATAACCATAGATGTCATTTAAACTACTACACGAGAGGATTTACTCGAAGAAATAATAGCAGTGCAAAAAAAAAAAAATTATAATTGAGGTAATAACTGTAACATTTTGAATCACATTAAAAATAAATTTCCTTATTAAAGCACCATGTTAACAACATGCTTCAAACTGTGGTTTTAACTGACATTTAACACAGATTGACACAACTACAAATACCAGAACACTGCAACTTAAAAATAACTTTGCGTGTATGTGTGGGTCAACACACACAAAAATGCCCAAGTTTCACATACCTTTGCCCAGACAGCTGCAGACAGTCCCAGGACAGGGCTGATGGCCATTATCACAAGGGTGAGCTTCCATCCTCTGATGAACCCCACTATGAATCCTGCAAAAAACGTGGCTACTGCTTGAAAGAACATTCCAACCTTGTCACCAATTCCTTCACTGATTTTGGAGATGTCACTAAAAAAGATCACACTTAAGTGGTTACAGGCAGGAGGTCTTTAGTTAGAAAGGTGAAGCAGACATCTAACAAATAAACAGATAAAACTTATTCACACTACTGCAAGCCTCTTTCAGAGTCTTAGCCTCTTGAATGATATTTTTTTCCCACCTAATTACTGTACAAAGGGAGAGATCCTGGATTAGTTCCTTAATTTCTAAGAAATCAATGTAATTAAAGTTGATACTATTAAATTCGTTAATCCTATTAGAGGAGCATTAACATTTTGAACAGGAGTCAATTTGTTTAAAAGCGGAAGTTAGAAAGAGCTCCTTGCTTTTATCCTTAGCCATATTCTCAACACTGTCTATTCTCAATACAGCAGCTAGTGTGATCCTTTGAAAACTGAAGTCTGCACAGGTTACTCTTCAATCAAAAATGTGCAGTGGCTGCTCATTTCACTGAGTCAATGCTGAAGGCCAACCAGGTCCTAAATTCCTTGATCTTCCCTCCTTTTTGAACTCACTACACTCTTACCAGGACCTCCAATAAGAAAAAGTTTATCATCTACCTCCCCCTGCTGGAAAGTAAGCAACTTGAGGACAAAATCTTTGTCTTACTGGTATATCACAAACATCCAAAACAGTGCTCGACACATAATGGGCCCTCAATATTTGTTGAATAAGTGAAGAGTCAATAATTACTAAGACCAGTCTCTTTGTGAAGTCATTCAATCATTCATTTATTCAATCATCTTAATTGAGTACATAACATCTGTAAGGCCTTGTGGTAAGCTCCATGAGAGAAAAACAAATATTTAAGGTGAGCTCAGCTCTCAAATAAACCTACTAACTGAGGAGAAAAACTAACAGAAAAGGAAAATACACTGTGGCATAGGCTGTAAGTGCTAGAAACAGCTGTCACATGTTCTACTTCCAGTAAACAGCAAACACCTAATCTATTAACTTTTTTTTTTTCATTTAAAACCTTCACACAATTAGTGGTTAATTTCTTTATGAAAGTATGACATTAGTAATATACTTACTCTGTTAGCCGTGTATTGAGTTCAGTGATGTCATTGGTGTCAAACCAACCTATTTCTTGTCGCAGAATAGCATGAAAAAATTCTTTCCTAATTTTCCTAATCTGTCGGTTAGCTGCCAAAGTCCAGAATGACACTTGTATATAGGCGGCAATGAAAACTCCAGCACCTAATCCTGAGTAATAATATGCATATCTGGAAAATAATTAGAAAGTTGCTTTTAAGTATTGTCCTTTACTCATTTCTTTCAGGAGTAATCTTCAGAATTGGGAATTAATAAGTTTACTGAACTGACCACAAGGATTATGTAGGACATTATAACAAATACACATTAAATTTTTTACTTTTCTTAAATTATAAGAGGAGAATAGCACATTTATTTGAATTATCAGCTAAAGAAAAATAAATTTCTGCGGTTATACAAGAAAAAAATAGCAGTGTTAGCGAAACACTTTTAAACTGATATTGACAATTTGTACATACAATTTGATATTTCTTTCATAATTAATGTTCTAGACTTGCGTATCTCATACTAAACATTTTCACTACTATTCACATATTGCAAATGTAGGAATAAACAGATTGAGCATATGTAATGGTTCTTAGTCTAAGGTTTCTCATATTGTTTACACATAGAACCCAAAAACACCTCTTCCTATTTGGCAGAATTTGAAAAAAATTTTTAAATAGTATGCTAAAATGTCATGAATTCAAACATGACATTTGGAGTGAAGGCTTAACTATATTAGAGGAAAGTTAGTATCTCCAAAAATAATAAATTTTGTTTCCGTACTTTCAAATATATTTTTAATATAATTTAAAAAACTTTTTCCAGACGGAATCCTTTCAGGCCTGCTATAGCATACAAATAGTACTCATTTATATCAGCAACATTAACTGATATGTAAACATACAAACATTATGTTCCAAGCTTAATAGACATTAGCCTGTCTATTAAGAAGGCTAATGATGGGGGTGGGGAATGCCATAAATGACATTATTGGATCAGCTGACAAAATTGGAATACAGATGATAGATCTGATCAAAATATTGTTATCGATATTAAATTTACTGAAGTTGTCAACTTTACTGTGGTTATGAAGGGCATATCCTGTTCTTAGGAACCACACTGAAGTACTTATTAGTAAAGGGCCATGATATATTCGACTTACTTTAAATGGCAGGGTCAGGAGTGGTGTAAATGATAAAAATAGGTTAAAGAGTATAACAAAAAGTAAAGAGTATATATTAGCCAATTACCTAGTCATTTCTTCTTCCAGAATTCTGCCTGGATTTAACATTGACAATGAAAAATTCACTAAATAAAAACAAAATGAAACAAAAATAAGACATTTTTGAAAGGTTAAACTATTAATAGATATTGCCAGGTTTAAAAAAATCTTTTCACTTTTCTCTTTTCATTTTCAAATGCATTCTTTTCACTTTACAAATAAAAAGCCCAAGGGTTTAGGCGCAGGACATCTAAGGTCTAGATGGGGGAAGATAAGACCTCTCAGGTTCTTCCCTCATCTTGGTGGTTTGGGGCCTTCAGCAAAGCAGCTTCCCAAGGAGCCACAAAAGGCAGAGGAGGAAAAAATAAATGGTCCAAATAGAAAATACAGGATTTAAGCGGCACTCTTTTTCTTAGTGGTTCAAGTACTTTACAGATACTTGTGAGTGTAAATTTATTTTAATATATGCTTCCTTATGACCTAAGTAATAGAAAGATTGAATTACATCCATTGTAAAGGAAGAAAAATTAAAGACAAGGAAGATAACTGAGTTGCTCAGAGACAAGTCAGTGGATCAAATAGTCATCATTGTCATGTATTCCATGTCTTGTTTACTAGCAAAACTGTATTCTGGTATTTTTAAAGCATTATTAATTAGAAAGAAATACATTGTCCATTAATTTGGGCTAATATGATAAAAATGTCAGTGTGTCTTTCCTGGTTTTCATAATAGCTGGCATTTATTATTTATTTTATGACAGGCTCTGTTCTGAACACTTTACACATATTAATTCATTTACTTTTCATACAACCTATGAGTAAGACTATTTTAGAGATCCCCATTTTACATATGAGGAAGGAAATTGAGGCACAGAGATAAATTAACTTACCCAAAGTCATACCGCTAGCAAATAGTCTGCGTGTCCTAACACTATGCTATACAGCTCCTAACACTATACCATACTGATTAATTCGTGTGGTAATGACTTACTTTAACTTTTGAAAACACAAAGTGGAAAATAAAAAGAAATAGCTCATCTCTACTGTATTCACAAAATAATAGGATAAAATATCAACACAGCATTGCTAAGAAAACATACTAATGTAGGTAGTTCTCGTTTACCATGATGCTGGGAGAGAAACTAGTCTTTGTTCCTTTATCATGTGTAAATAACCCAGAGGTCATGTTTTCTGGGTGCTGTGTATCTTTCTTATCTTCTTTCAAAGAAAGATAAGGTTGACATTTATTTAAAACTTAAACTACTGTCAGGGTCAATTACCAAGCATAATTTCCCCCTCAGGACTGAACTTCTACTGATGTTCACAGCAAAGTTTTTCTTCTTATTACTCTTGCTCTTTGTCAGCTATCAGATCCTTGAGAAATCATACCATTTTATTTCTGTTCTTATCAGTTCAGTTCTGCAGGCTGATTTCCTTCCTTAGTTCTTCTTAAATATGTACCTTTGATATGCCAAATCAGAACTGAGTTTGGAATTAGAGGTGGACAAGCTATCCTAAAGATATGGTATTTGTAGAAATCATTGTTCAAAACCTTGGAAAACCTCCAGATATATGTGTTCAGGGTTGGTTGTTTCCTTGAACTTAGAAATCAGGTGAAATCTTAAATGAGTTTAACTCTCCTCCTACACCTACCTCAAACTTTTAAATTCTCTCAATAAGGATATAAAATTCAGATTGATCTTCCCTACTAGAAAATAAGAATTTATGGGCATTCCGAACTGGAACCCCTCCTTTCTCAGAGTCCCAGGCCAAGAATGGCAGTCTAGTACTAGGTTAGTAACCCTAGGAGCCCCAGAAATCCCAGGAAACCAGGATGATGGTGAGGCAACTATATGTTGATGTGTTCCCTAAAGAGTCATGGGACTCTAGATCTGGAGTTCTAGAGCTGGAAATCTCATGAGATTTTAGATCTAAAAAGGGCATAAACCTGGTCTTCTCAGGTGCTACCCATTATGCTTCAATCTCATAAAAAATTTCCAAATAGTTTTCTGGTTCAAGGATTCTCAGTGTTATCTGCCTGTTAGAATCACATTAGGAGCTTGAAAAATACAGAAGCCCAGGCTCCACCCAAGAGCATAAATCAAAACTTTTGACTGAATCTAGAGATCATATTTCTAAAAATACCCCAACATCCACTTGATTTTAATATGGAGGAGAAAATGCCCACTCTCACTCACCTGGATGCCTCCCAAAACAAGGAAATGGGGAATTCTTGAAGCTGCCTATTCATTTTATAGAGCTCCCATAGAATTAATTCACTTTATAGATGAATAAACATAAATTTATAATAGTTGTTTCATTTCTAAGTTCTTACAGCTAGTTTTCCCCAATATTCATTGATCATTTACTAAGTTCTAGACACTTTACATAAATCATCTTATTTAATTCTATCAGTAAGTCTATGATTACTTTTCAAAGATGAGATCAGTAAATATAGAAGTTAAGTAACTTTCCCAAGGTCATACATCTTGTGCATGAAGGGCCTAAATAACTGTACAACTTAAGGCTTACTTAAGGAGACACTACATAGGGAGTACTGATGATGATCACTTTTGAGTCTCAAATTAAGTCAATGTCTCCCTTCCTGAATTCTGCCTAAAACTTCCTTTGTCATATAGAAATATTCAGTACAAAACAAAGAGGTGGTGTTTGTCCATGGGGCTTATGCAGTATGGGCAGTTAATTAAGGTAACAAGGGGCTCAAAAGTGCCTTTTTTCTCTTAACTCCAAAGCCATGCGAGGACATGTAGGATATATCAATTTCCTCACAGAATTTCCTAGATTATTACAGTCACATAGACTTGGGACAAAATATATCAGGTTCTTGGTACTCTGCAGAAGAACTGTTTCCTATGACTCTGTCCTTAAGGTTTGGATGCAGAATGTTCTATGCATAGTTTCTGCACAACTGAGTCATTGTGAGGGAACAACCTTGTCACGTAGTGGCTTTATTCTGTTGACAAGGATGGGCTGTGTTCCCAATAAATCATTGTCAGACGCTCTTGTAATTTAAGCCATTTTCTTCTAACATTCTCTTCTCACTTGGCTCCCATTAAGTCTAGCTGTCCAAGAACGCAACAATTCTAAAGACTAGACTCTAAATAAACATCATGTCTATGAGACGAGCTAGTAAGCTCAGCTCTATCTTTCATATTCTATCTTCTTTCAACCTCCATGATTGTTGCTAAACTATGACTCTAAACATATCAATGAGCTCTTTGGATTTAGAGTGAGTATGAAATTTAAAGATTGCATTTCTCCAAGGAGGAATGAGAATATTACTTTTAAAAATTACCAAAGAGTAGACATTGGATATTAATAACATTAGAGGGACTTCCCATTCTAATCCTCCGAGATAGTCAATAAGGCCTAATGATAAATGTGGCTAAAAATGTCGTAACGTTTGGAGGCTACTGAAACTAAGCTGGCAACTCTAGTGGGTTTAGCGTTCCAGCAAGCACAGGTCTGTCAGTGACTTGTTCGTGCCATTCCTCAGAAAGACCTTGAGTTTGGCCCTAGGCACAGCACATGGCACCTGCCTGCCTGTCCAACTTCACAGTAATTCGGTTGCATAATTAGAAGCAAGTAAAAAACAAGCAAACTGCTCCAAATAAGAAAACTGTGGAATTATTCTGGTGTTCTAAAAACCAGACTAGTAAAAGTAGTACAAATGCTAACTTATTTGTGATAAGTGTGTTGCATTGTTTTAATCTGATTTTTTTAAAAAAAATTTAAGTGTGATAAAATACACATAACATAACATTTACCATCAACCATTTTAAGTGCACAAATCTGTAGCATTAAGTATATTCACATTGTTGTACAACCAATCTCCAGAACTTTTTTTACGTTGCAAAACTGAAACTTTATGCATTAAACAACTCCTCATTTCCTCCTACCCCCAATCCCTGGTAACCATTATTCTACTTTCTGTTTCTATGAATTTGACTACTCTAGATACCTCATAGAAGTGGAATCATACAGTGTTTATCTTTTTGTATTCGACTGGCTTGTTTCACTTAGCATAATGTCCTCAAGGTTCATCCATGTTGCCGCATGTGTCAGGATTTCCTTTCTTTTTAAGGCTGAATATTGTTCCATTGTACAATATATCATATTTTGTTTATCCATTCATCCATTAATCTGACTCTTTTTAATCCTGATTTGAAACCAGTTTTTGACTGATGTGTCTGAATATGAGCATCACCCTGCTTTATATATGTATAAAGCATAATAATCTATAGAGCTTCTAAAAAGTCAAAAGAAAACAAATAGAAAATTCCCACCCCTCATTTCCTTAAAGGCTTTCTAAATGTCTTATATTACTCCAACTTTACCTTTATGGTGTTTATGTTAAAGTTTTGGTCACTGGTTAAACACAGTAATCCATTTAAAAGTTTCCCAAACATATTTTTTTAAAAAGAGAAAGCACAATTATTTACATTGGCAGTATCATGTATTTATATGGTAATGAGCATGGTTTAGATAATAAGAAAACCTGGATTTGATTTCTGTCCTAACACTCACCAGCTATGTAACTTTGGACAAGTTATTTATCCTCTCTGAGCCTCAGTTTCCTCATATGTTAAGAAGAACAGTATTACCTACTATGTAAGACTGTTTTTATGAGGGTTAAGTGAAATAGGACCTAGCAGATAAGAAATACAATGAAAGATTACTATTATTGTTGTTACTTTTATTATAACGAGGGTCTTCTCAGAAACACTAGTAATTGAGAATACATAAATTGTGTTTTTGTAGGAGCTTTTTTTTTCTATTCAAAGGATGCTTTTACTAGTTTTCTAAAAGGTATTAATGTTTATCAGTATTTATGTATACAGGTCCTAGTGTATAAATCAAGCAATCATATTCTCTTAGGTAATTACACATAAGCCCTATGCTGCTAACCAAATATACAGTTCTTAATCTGTGAACACTGAAAACTCTTACTGAATATTATCTAAATTATAGGGTCCACTTTTTCTCAGGCATCTTTGCTATGAAAGCTGTCTTTTCTTTATGGGTATTTTTTCCTTATATTCCACCATCTGTGTACCAATAAATCTCCACTCAATCTTCTCTAATCTAGTGCCCAAAAGGTTGTTTGGAAGGAACTGAGCCTCAGGCCTGGTAGAAAGTTGAAACTGCCTTTCTTTCTATGTGTAATTTGGCTAATACGAAAATAACTATGTCCATTGGAACTTCATCCCAGTGCTGTTGTCCCAGTCCCTGTTTAGAGACATTAACTTATGGGACTCTGTTGGCTCTTCAATAATTATAGTTCTTTGGGTGTGTTTCAAAGCACATCATTCTCATCTTGAATTCATTCACTTTTTAATGAAGTGTTATAGCAAGGTCCAGCTAACCTGATTTATCCAAAAACTTGAGACAGAAAGTGCCTGTAATAAAAATAAAAAATAAAAAAAATAAAAAAAGACGGGAGAAGAAAAGGAAACCAGAAACAGATCTACAAGCTGGACACAGCTAAGAAGTACTGCCATGTTAACTGGTATCTTTTGAAATTTACCAGTAATCACTAATGGGATGAATATTGAATAGGTATACTGTTACAGTTCCACTGTCTTCATGTACAGTGACTTCTCTACTTTCTATATATTTCCTTATCCTGTCAAACAGCATACACCCAGTTCTTGAAATTTGAGTATTCAAGGAATTTTCTGACAATTTCACAATTTCTTCTGTAATACCTAGAGTCATCAGATATCTAAATCATTAAACAAGTACATGATGAATAGCAAAATCAATTTCTAATCTTTCACCTAGTTAAAGGAGTACGATACATTAAAAAAACAAGTAGAGAAATGCTTACCTGGAAAGGATAAGTTTCCTGAGGCAATAACAAATCTGTCAGTCATGTCTCCAAATACTATCATCATTAGAGGGAGGCCTGATCCATGAGCAATGGCCATGATTGTGCCCAGGGACATAAATAATTTATCCTGCCAATCAGAGTATCGAAACTGAAAAAAAAAAAAACTTATCTTACCTTGTGGTATAGAATTTCTCTTTTCCACAATTATATGTTCTTTGGATTTTTATTTAAGGTCAGTACATTTGTAATAGTTGCAAATAAATGTATTAGGTAAGAAGGAGAATTTCAACCCAAATCATTGACAGACTAATTTCATGATTCTATTTATTTTATATTCTGTGAAGAAATCAATCTGATTCTGTTTAATCAGTATCTTATTTGCTTGAATGACTGTAATATAATCAGAAGGGATAAAGGTTTGGTTCTAAGAAGAAATGTTGTTTGATCTTCCAGAACTCCTGATGTAGTGAATTAAGGACAACTAGGAGTACACACGCACACACATACACACACACCCTAACAAACACATGCACATATGCACATGCACACGCACATTACATCCTTTAAAATGACATTCAGAATATTTCAGAGGGAGAATTACAAGTAGGAGAAACAGGACTTCTGAGTTTTGAGAATAAGATCCCCTTAAAAGGTTTAAGTTCGCTTTTGAAAGGCAGCTCAGTAGTGAAGTGAAACAAACATTATGGAGTACCTATCTGTGTACGTTAGAGCAGTGGTCCCCAACATTTTGGCACCAGGGACCAGTACTCCTATGAGAATCTAATGCCTGATCATCTGAAGTGGAGCTGAGGTGGTGATGCTAGCGCTGGGGAGTGGCTGCAAATACAGATGAAGCTTCACTTGTTTGCCCACCACTCACCTGCTGTGCGGCCTGGTTCCTAACAGGCCAGACCTGTAAGGATTCGAGGCCTGGGGTGTTGGGAACCCCTGCTTTAGAGAATTCTTGCTCATGGAGAGGATGCTCATTACAGAATCTTAAAGAGTAGGAGGAGTTAGTTAAAGAATTGGGGAATGCACAGGAAATAGGGAATGTTTAGGCTTAGAAGAGCAAGGTGACTAGAAACTGCATAGAGTTTTCAGGCAGCTCCACATGGTGGAATTCCTGAAGTGGACAGTACAGAGTGTGGAGACGATATTAGAGAGAGGTAGAAAAGGCCTCAAGGGCCATACCAGGGATCTTGGTCTTATCTTAGTATCATCCATGTACAATGTACTTAGTACTATCACTTAGAGGGGGGACACTAGTTGTCACAGTGAAGTACGCAACACTCACAAATGAAAATAGCTGATCAATGTCATAATACGCCAAAGACTTTTCCTTCACTGTTTGTTTTTCAATCTTCTCCAGTTTCTCACTTTTTCTTCTCATTTTTGATGAACTGTTCTTTGGCTCTCTTTGTTCTCCCTTCCTCCTCTTTCAGACTACATCATTGTCTTATTTTTCCATTTCTATACCTTCCCCTCTGTCCCTTGCATCTCTCCCCTCTTTTAAACTTTTTCCCTCTATCCATTTTCCTCACTCCACCCCACCTGCTTTTTGGGGACAAGGGACAGTCATCAGGAGAATGGATGAGTCAGACTTGGCAGAGTGGGGTTTTTAAGAGCTGAAGCTGAGTCAGATAGGGTCAATACCCCAGGGCAGGATGAGGTCAGACACACATGGTGAGGTGGGGAGGGGGAGTGTGTGTGCAAACTTTCCTCAGAGAGTTCCAGAAGTTCAGTAAGGGAAGGCCAAATTCTATCATCAAACACACAGGGCAAGCAAGAGTGCCAAAAGAGACAAAGGGTCAGAAGCCAAGTGAAGTTTGGAACAAAAAAAGGGGAGCAAGTGAAGTCAAGAGCAAATGGGGAAGGGTCCCTGAAATTGCTATAAAAGAGACTAGTGTCCCCAGGGTTCAATTCTGTGGTTCCTAGGGAAGGGAGTTAGAACACTTGGGTCTGTCCACTACAGTTTCAAGCACAGGATCAGGTCGTCATGTAATGTTTTCTTTACTGAATATTTACATGAAATTGAGGAATATTTTAAATGCTTTTCAAACTACTTAAGTAAAATTTCCTTGTTTCTAAGCAATGTACTAAGTATAGCTAGATTGTTTTCAGTGATTTTTCAACAAAACAATACATTTCTAATTTCTGATGGAGTAGTTTTGTAAATGTCTAGTCACTATGCAATACACCTGAAACTAATATAATATTGTAAGTTAATTGTAATTGAACGATGAGAGAGAGAAGTTTTTTTAAAAGTACAGTATTTTTCCTAAATCTCTTTTGAGACAAAAAAAAATCTATTCAGAGTCTGAAAAAGATTACATTTATATTTAATTTAAATTTTAGCTTTTATATTCAAGAAAATTTCCACATTTCTACTTTAAGGTTCATGGTATTTTATTTTATGTAGGAGGCAGATTGAAAACCTATGCAACAAAACCAGATTTAGTTTTACAGCTTATCCTCTAAAGCACTAAATTAAAAAAAATACTCTTATTGATACTTTTAAACAAAAACATCACAAGAATAAGGAAGAAGAGAATAAATAGGGGCTTTGTGGTGACTTGAGAAATCTGCAGCGATGTTCAAGACCTACGATGTTTTGGTGTCTTTTCAGCCATTTACTTATTAAGTTGGAAATTTCAGCTGACATGCTACTTAATATCAACTTTTTTTACTACTGAATAATGGCTATCATAGTTTGAAACACATCATATTTACCACAAGTGGGCAAACACTTTCTTGGGCCGCCTCTCTGAGACAAATGAAAAACAGATTACACTTCTTGCAAAAATATGTTGGCTTGCCTCGTGCCAGCAGAAAGCCACTGAGAATTGTGCTGAACATAATCTAAATCTCTAATAGTTACTCTACATTTAATCAATTATCTTGGAAGCCAAATGTGGACACAGACTTCTTAATTGTCTTAAAATTTCTATAGTTAACAATCACTTTACATGCAAGCTTATTTTAAGCTAAATGTGTGGGGGTTTTGTGAAACAAATGCAGAGATTCATTTTTCTGAAATTGGTTAGTTTGTCTGGTGCTACGAACACAAATCCTATTTTCAATTTCACTGTAAACCAGTTAGCTCTGTTCTGTTTCATAGCCAACCCACCCCTACCTCTTTTATCATCCATCTTGGGCCATGACTACAATGAGCCAACCTCAGCCAGCACAGGTGTAGCAGGGAAAAAATCTGTCACTGCCTGTAGACAATCTTAAAGTGCTGGCTCTATAACTATTGATTCTACACCATATTTGAATGAAGGAAAGAATTATTCACATTTATTATTTAACAACTTACCAGTGTTAATGGTCCAATCAAATTCACTTTCTTTTTCCTGTCTTGTTCGCTGTAAAGAATATAATTGTTTGAATTCGAAACTATTACAAAATGTTTCATAGTCAACTGAATATAAATTTGAGATGTTATCACATTCAACTATTATAATATTTTCAAATATAAAACAGTGATGTCCACAAATTGTCAAAATTATCCAGTTCAACAAATATTGCAAGGCAATCACCAAGTAACTGAAGTAACTGTCCAAGGTACTACAAGGATATCTGGATAAACAAGAAATGGTCACCTTCCTTACAGAGCTCACATACAGGGGGAAGATGAATGTATTAATAATGTCTGCCAAATCAATTACACTCCCCCCTTACCTGCAGTTTTGCTTTCCACAGTTTCAGTTACCCATAGTCAACTATAGTCTGAAAATATTAAGTGGAAAATTCTAGAAATAAACAATTCAAAAGTTTTAAATTGCACACCATTCTGAGTATTGTAATGACATCTCTCTCTGTACCGCTGAGGACATAAATCATCCCTTTGTCTAGTGTATCTATGCTGTAGATGCTACTCACCTCTTAGAAGTGATCTCAGTTATCAGATCGACCATGACAGTATCACTGTGCTTGTGTTCAAATAACTCTCATTTTACTTAATGGCTTCAAAGCGCAAGAGCGGTGATGGCAAAAATTTGCACATGCCAAAGAGAAGCCTTAAAGTGCTTCCTTTAAGTGAAAAGGTAAAAGTTCTCAACTTAATAAGGCATTTTATCATCTCACATCATCACAAGATAAGGAAAGGTGAATATAGTACAATAAGATATTTTGACAGAGAGAAAGAGAGGGAGAGAGAAAACATTCACATAACTTTTATTATAGCATATTGTTATAACTATTCTATTTTACTATTAGTTATGGTTGTTAATCTCTTACTGTGTCAATTTTTATAAATTAAACTTTATCACAGGTATGCATGCATAGGGAAAAACAGAATATATGTAGGGTTCTATACTATCTGAGGTTTCAGGCATCCACAGGGGGGTCTCGGAGTGTATTCCCCATGGATAAGGGGGAACCAGTATAAATTCTTCCTTTGCTGAAAAAAAATACATGTTGATCTAAATATAGTAAGGGTCACTCTTCTGAAGTTTTATGGCGAGTGGTGTCAGGAAGTCCTGTTTGCTCTACATTCAAAATACATCCTGAATTCAACCTCTGCTCACCAATTTTACTGCTACCCCAGTAGCTCAGGAGAACTCCTGTTAGTCTCCCCACTTCCACTTATGCCCCCTTTAGTCTATTCTCAACACAACAGCCAGAGTAATCATTTAAAAATTCGAATCATATCACACTACTATTCTCACTTTTCTCAGAGTAAAAACCAAATCCTACATTGGCTTCTAGAGCCCTACATGATCTGTTTCCTCGTTACCTCTCTGACTACCTTGACCACTTCCATGGCTGCTTGCTCTGTTCCAGGCACCATGGCCCCTCTGCTGTTCTGTGAACACACCAAACATTTTCCCATTGCAGAGTCTTTACATTTTCAGTCACCTCCGCCAGGAATGCTCTCTCTTCAGACACCCACAGAGCTCTCTTCTCTCACTTCTTCCATATCCGTGCTCAAATATTGCCTTCTCAATAAGACCTGCTGCCTTATTTAAAATTGTAAACTACTTCCTCCTTGTACTCCTGATTTCCTTGGCCTCAATTAATGTTTTTCTATAGCATTCATTACCTTCTAACATTTGTTGTAGTTTACTTATTTAGCATGTATATTATTTATGTCTGCCTGTCATACAATAAACTCCATGAGGGCAAAGGTTTTATTTTATTTTTACCTAAAATGCATTTATTTAGCTTAAATTTCCAGATAGGTGATAAAGTTTTAATCATAAAACTTGATCCCAAATTATTTAGAACATTTGCTAAAATCAAAGGACAGACATCTGCCACTAAGTATATTCAAAGGAATGTGCCACAGGCAATAGCAGCATGATTAGAATAATCATATAACTAACTCTTAATTTGCCCTAAATAACTAAAGTGAGTTTAACTTCCTTTGAATGTATAAGCTTTGGTCTGCTTTTTATAAAAATTAGTCTCATTTCATTTAATTTCATAATCTTACAGTCTTAACGTATTCTTAACTTTTCATATTCCTCTTTTGGACTGTTTTCTTCTTTCCAACAGAAGGCTGTGAGCTCCACTTCTGCGACCTTCCTTAGGTTTTGGAGTGTTACTGCATTTTTCACAGGGATAGCTCCTTTGTACACTCATCAAATGTTCAGCCAGGGCAAGACATAAATAGCCTTTCTTGTGAAAATGCCATCTATTTATAGATTCACAGTCAATCCCAGCCTAAATTGGCAGTTGATGAACACCACATCTTTCTGGTAGAAATACTACCACCCATCGGTTTTCCAATTCTATATGGCAAACTAAATTTTCTGTGAATGAGCACCATAGTACTTAGAAGGAATAGAGCAATATCACTGTATGAAGAAGTTAACAGTCTAAAATAATGCTTCTGTTTAAACATCAGATAGGTGTATTGCAGTTGGCTAATCAGTTCCCTTGCAGCTTGAGGACACACTTGATAAATTTGTCCCTCTGGGTGATTACTCGATGACACAGGTCAATTAGTTCTGGATGGCCTGGTGTGAACTCAGAGACCATAACAACTTCATAAACTATTTGAAGCTAAAGGAGAAAATGATTCACTATTCCCACAGTGAAAGAGGAAACAGAGACAACACACCATTGACTGGTTGCTTCTGCTCCTACTAGGGCCAGTGAAGTGCTCTTAACAAGGGCCCCTGGGAACCAAGAAGCCAGCGCCAGGAGAAAGACGCGCACGCAAAGGAAACACTGAGGTTTCCGCCTTACATTTGAACAACATCTGATTTGGAAGCGCAGGTTACAGAAGAATAGGCTGCCCGAGGACCTCCTCCCTATCTCACTGCCCAGAACGAAGAAATACGGAACCCGGCTGGCGCTGGGAGGAGGGGGAAGGGGTAAGAAAAAGAGGAACAGGAATGAGGGGGAGGAGGGAGTTTTTGCTTCACGACCTCTGTTCTAAAAAGCACAACCATCAACAGCAGATGTCTGGTGCTCTATAAGCATGAAAAATCAGATGATGTTTATGAAAGTTATTTGTAAAAGTTTTGAGTTATATAATGCAAGGGATGTTATACAACGCAGATATTCATCGAATCACCCTGCACAAAAGGAAGCGGGCACTTTTAAAGACAGCCTCTTCTTCCTGAGCCTGTTGCAAAAGAGGCATCTGTAACATTCCTTAAGAAAGGTCAGAACCTCAGACAAGACTCTCCAAAGAACCTCCAAAACAAAGGCCAAAGGCATCAAACAGATTTTTCTCAACTTCTTTACGAGGCCGAATTTGGCCCCGCTGATCCCCGGGTAACGGAAAAACGGTGCCGGATGATGTACCTGCTGCTGCTCAGTTCAAAGTCACCTTCTTCTGCTCTCACCCGGCGCCGGGCAGTTCCGTTCCTTCCCGCCTCGGGATCCATCTCAGCCTGGGGAGAAACCACAGCTTCAGGTCCAAATGCACTCACCCCAGCTCGGGAAGGACAGCCAGCCTCCTCGCAGCCCCCGCCCGAGGGGTGCGAGCCGGGCGCGGGGGTCGGGCCCAGGGGGGTCGGGCCCAGGGGCGCCGGGTGGAGGTCCCGCTGTCCCCGCCTCGCGCCCACCATCCCGGGGGTTCCCGGCGCTCCCGGGCCTCGCTCACCTCAGACCCAGC